CCAAACCGGTATAAATTTGCCAGCAAAACGACACCAGGGGTCTTTGTAAATCCCTTTACAAGTGAAAAGACAAACAGGCAACTTGAACAAAAGCACACTTGTCACACCAACCTGTTGTAAAAGCGGGTGGGAGGATGAAGCAAAGAAGCAGGTGAAGAGGAAAGTGCAGCAGTAAAAGCCTTTTGTTAATAGTCTTGTCTATTTTTAACATACTGCCATTAAATTTATTAAAGAAACATACTTTCCACTGATATTACAAAAAATTAAACCACTCTAAACACCCAGTTTTCATTATTTACTTTGCTTACTTTGTGCCTCATTAGGAATGAAATTAATCTTTTGATTATATCAGCCCTGCTTTAATTTATTTCATTTTCCCAGTAATTTATCTGCAGCATCAGGATAGACCTAACCCACCTGACAAGCAAATGCATTAGCTAAACACTGTGATAAACTAGTACCAATGCTACGGACTTTTTTCTTATTTAAACTCAGTTACTTTAAAAAAAAAAAATCAATTAAATTTTCAACCAAGCTCACCTGGATATAAACTCTAAGGTTTTCAGCTGATGAAAGAAGATTTAAACAGATGACACACATTTCTGTGTGACTCTTACAATCCATCTAGCATGTTGTATCTGAATGATCAGTAAACATACAACTAAAGGGAAAAATAATTACAAAGAAAGGAAAAGCACTCTATTTGAGCAATAGTTTTAACAAGCCTTCTAAAATCTGGACTAGCACACTTACCTAATCTGATTTTTTCTGCTTCTTCTTGGAGTTTAGTGACCAGGGCTTTCATTCGTTCATAGTTTTCCTAAATGGGGAAACAAATGTTTCAAGTTCAACCATAGGTGACAGAATGATGCTTTAATAAAGAAACACAGAAAACAGTATGCAACATTAATTTCTTTCAAATTTTCTACTTACCTTATTAAAATACTTGCTCTGTATTGTCTTTAAAGAAATAACATTTCTACCTGTATGTGGGTTTCCTTATGTCGTCCCAAGGCATTTAATACACAAGCTTCACGAAAAACTCTATGTTTGAACTGTAAAAGCCCACTCTAAACTTAATGAACCAATACCAAAATTTGTCATTACAGAGTTCAAACTTTATTTTTCAGATTTTGTTAACTTACTGGTGTGTGTTTATTTGCCTTTCACAAACGTAACTTTGTAAAATAAATCATGGGTATTCAAATGAAGTGCTGTTGTGCCTCTTGTGCCAGAAGATGAATGACCTAGAGTGAATTAACTTGGCAAAAATGTCTGTATTCTCTATTTAAATAGAACACAAATATAAACATAAGGCTTTCAAAAGCAGGAAAGTGTGACCTTCTTGCCAATACTCCTCTTAGAATAACAAAGGCTCTTGTAGCTTTGGGTATGAGTTATCCAGTAGTCAGCTCACCACCAGTGTCCTTACAGTCGTTTTTACCACTTCTTCAGGATTAAAAGGTATTAGTCAACCTTAATGAGGCTTTTCAGATATGTTAAGAACTATGTAACTTCTTTGAGAAGGGTAACTGCAATATAGCAAAAAGGTTTATCAGCTGCAGCATGAGAAAAATCAGTGTTGTCTATTGCTCATTTAGAAGATACTAAAGCCTAATTTGAGAGAGAAAAAAAAATAATCTGGAGACTTTATATTCAGAGGTGAACACAGAACTAGGGTTACCCTAGTAAGTAGCAAGTGCTGTAGTTCAGTTTCTCCAGCTCTGAATCACTGAAAGGCCCTTCACCACAATGTGAAGGGCAAACAGGGTGAAAACATACACACAGGCCAACGCACTCAGAGTGGTTTAGCTGTCCAGAAGGACTTTGCAAAGGAAGCACTTCTTGCCCCTTGGCCCTAGCAATTCCACCAGCTGGCACACGTGGCTGATGGGTGAGATCAACACTCAGACATCCTCCACCAGAAGAGGACACTGCAGCAACAGGTCAGTGTGTGCCACCCTGGGCTCTGGGCGGAGCGCATGCAGCACAGTGCACAGATTGGACCTTCACCCATCTGTTACTGTGCAGCTGCTCTTTTCTTCCTCAGCTGTGAATGACACTGGAATGGCCTACTGGAGGTTCGGTGACCGGGAAATAAGAACAAATCAGCCACGTTTGTTCGTCTGACTGCTGTCACTCACCACTGAAGGAAACAAACCCTGATCTCTGTCCCTCAAAAGAGCAACTTTAAATCCATACTTGTAAAGGTCTGTCACAGCACACTCAGCTTCTTCACACACTACTGGGATTAAATATTCAGCTTGAAATAGGAAAAAATCCAGCTAAAAATGGCAGAGGGAATTAAAAGGGGCACAGCAATCACAGTCTTACTTATCTGATTCTGGATTAACAACTTCTGTAGTTATTTTATCTACTCTCCTGCAGGAAAATTCATGAAAGAATTTCTTATGCCATCAGTAAAAATATCTTGCTCCAATACTTGAGTTAATTTCTGGTCTTATCTTTCACGTCTTTTAACCACAAGACATTTCTGCATATTACAAAGGAAAAGCAAGGACATGTATGGCTTTTGAACACACGCAGAAATGGCTCCACGCAGGATCAAACTAGCTCTGCCGTATCTTTTTGGCCTCTTAATGCCAAAAATGCAAGTGAATGGACACATCTTCCTTCTGTAAACCTGCTTTTGCACCAGTAGAGTCTATAAAATTCTGCTCTTAGTGTGAGGGCTCCTAGGAACTCAAAGCAGAATCAAGAAGTGAAAGTTACAGACTGATCCTAAGATCCTAATGAGCTAAGTGAATTACTGCTACCTAAGCAAGGCAGCTGTAAGAGCTAATCCTGAGAGCCTTCACACAGATTCTCCTCTGTTTTCCAGAATTTAGACTCACTGCTAAACTACGCTTTCACATGTCTAGCTTTACAGTGTACATTATGAAGGCCAACCTGTCTGGCTAAACTGACAGCCAGAAGGGCAGACACCAGCTACAGGAGGCGAGACCTTCATCGCACACTGCTACGCTCTCCTCTGTTTGCACTGTTTTTCTCTGCATACCAATATTTTTTTCAGATTCTTTAACACCTCACAGCACTTTGTGTCTGTAAAGCACTGCGTGCGCTTACACTGCTGCACTAATTAGACTTAGCACTAACACTACCAGCTCTATTACTGCTTGAATGATGTAGCACACGCTCCTCCAGGGTGGGCTTGTCCAGCAGCTTTTCCTGCATTAAGTCAGATTGAAAACTACTGCCAACATACACAAAAGCTAGACATGGAAGTAAAAATAAAGTGTTCTACAAGGAGTTACCCAGCCTTGGCTTTTGGGATTTAAAGGTGCACACACAAATGCAAATCCACTGACAGCTTAGCTGAGTGAACACATTTATTAAACTGCTGTTTTTCTGCTTGTTTGTTTGCAGACGCAAATCCACGTGCACGTATTATGCACCATTATACACGTTTACATACGTGCATACAAACACATCCGTACAACGAAGACTGGCATGTACAAATGCACACGCTGGTGTCCCACGGAAGTTTCTGCAGCTCGGTTTCTGCAAAGCCACATTCAGAACTGCATGAAGTGTTTCACATTTCTTCCCATCAGCTCCGACCCGCTCCTAAAAACGCCCTGTTCTCCACAACAGCAACACAACTTTCCCATATAGCATCGATACGAGGCGATTTACAACGCCGTCGCGGCGGTGGGATTTAACTCCACCCGCATCTCCTCCCTAAGGAGAACGCCTTCTGCGGGCAGCCCGGGCACTGCGCGCCAGCCCCTCCCCCTCTCTCGAGGAAGGGAGCCGCCAACAAACGGCAGGGAGCTCCCAGCTCTGGGAAGCGCCGCGCTTCGTAACGACGGAGGGTTCGCTCGGGGACACCGAGAAACACCGAGGCGCCAAGGCGCGCCCCGAGCCCCCGCGGTACCAGCCTACCTGGTAGAGCGGGGAGCCCGCGTCGGGCCGCGAGCCCACCGCCGCCGCCTCGCCATAGCGGGCGCGGGCCGGGCGAGCGGCAGCGGCGCGGGAGAGGAGGCGGCAGCGGCCCAGCAGCATGGCGGCCCCACAGTGCCGGCCGCGCCGCCCGCTGCCGCCACTCCCACCGCCGCAGCCAATGGGTGGAGGGGCCGCCCGCCCTCAGCCGCGCCCGGCGGAGCCGCGAGGAAAACGTGACGTTGCGGTTGGAGCGCGTGATAAACAGCGCGGGAACGAGCACGGGAGTCATATAAAATAATTTATTTACATAGTTTACACGACAACTTTCTTTCAAACAGAAAGCGCGTTGGCGATTATACAGGCAGAAGTCCCGCTGAGATCCCATCGCGCAGCTCTTCCATTGCCATACCCTCCTCCGGTACAGAACACAACGCGACCTTCTCTCGCCTCTATTCAAAATGTTCTTCGAAACAAAGTGCAAACGGAGGGAACAGAAAGCGCGGCCTCAATGAACAATATAGGTAAGGCACCTTAAATCTTAGGAATGAACAGTTATTTTGTATCCTGTAATACAAATGCAAACTGCACGCAATGAAATGAGCAGTGGTTATCAGCTCAGAAAATACGGCAATTATTTCATAGCCAGATCCCCAGAAATGCATTCTTAGGCTATGTCAGTGCAAACAGGATTGAAACATGCCACACAGTCAAGAACGAAGCATCTGATTAAATGAAGTGTCTGCAAGGTATACATTGAACTTAACGCATACACTCATCTATTTCCTAATGTTTACATCAAACGTTTCAAGTTAAATGTGGTAGGCAGAACAAAAGAGCCGAGATTTCCAAGCACAGACTGATGGTGGTGGATTATCTTTATGTGTGTCAGGTTTTTGTTTGTTTAGTCTTTCTTTTGACAATATGCTGTTCAGAAAGTCAAGCTGGGATCACCAGCCTTTTCACCACCTCTACAAGATGCTGCTGCAAGCCCCACAGAATGGCTGGGGCTGGAAGGGACCTCAAGGATCACGAAGCTCCAATCCCCTCCACCACAGGCAGGGCCATCAACCTCCCCATTTAATACCAGCCCAGGCTGAGCAGGGCCCCATCCAACCTGGCCTTAAACACCTCCAGGGATGGATGGGGCATCCACAGCCTCTCTGGGCAATGTGGTTGACAGAGGTCTCCTAATACAGCAACTTGCAATAGCAGTAGTTTTTCTGTGTATTTTTCATTATTGACAAAGTTTTAAATGTTCATTCATAAGCACTGCCAAACATTCTCAAAGTATTTCAAAATTCAGTAAATGATTACATGAGAACATTTGCAAGTAAATTATTACCCAGCCCCAAGGTGAAGATGGGTTTCTGCAGAGCACAATACAATTCAAACTTCTCTATTATAACAATTTCTTTTGCAAAAATATTTGCTGTTAATAATTCCCAGGAGAAATAGCTGGACTACTTACATCTACATGCTCTTTTTTTGTGTAATAACATTTAAGAATTACTTGACCTCTCAGTGGCTACCTGTGAAAACTCAAAAGAACTTTTGTATTTTAACAAGACAATTTTCCTACACAAGAAAAAAAAAAAAAGCTAAAATCTCAAGCTGCACCAAACTTTTATGGTGAGTTTCAGTACAAGCAGACGTGGAACATGAGGAAAATGTTCAAATACAACTGCTTCCAAGTAGCAAATCCTTAAAGCATCCTCACTGTCGTTTAAGTCCAGTTGTTGGTGCTGCTTTGAATAAATGCAACAAAGGACATCACTACAGACATATACACCTACATGCAGAAACAAGAAGAAACACCATCTAACCCCTTTGTTTTCAAATTTAGAAGATGTCCTGGTTCCAGCTGAGACGATGTTGATAGCACAGCTATGGTTCTTGCTGAGAGATGTGTGCAATCCCAGGGCTCAGTGGGGAAGAGACACCACACAGGACGAAGCCAGGACAGCTGGCCTGAATGAAGCCAGGGGTTTACTCCACACCACATGACATCGTGCAGAAGCTGTAAAGATCTGGGGAGGGGCCACTGATTGTAGTTTGCAGGGCATCAGTCGGCAGGTACTGAGACCTTGAGTTGCCAGCAGGGCATCAGTCAGCAGGCAGCTGTATTGTTAGCTGGGTGTTGGCTGGTGAGTAGTTGCACTGTGGAGATATTTATCTTCTAGCGCATGTTTGTCTTCACTTTTCTATCTTAGTAAAGAGTTTTTACCTCATCCCACGACTTCTATTCTCCTCATCCCACCTTGTGTGGTGCTTAGCTGCCTGCTGGGTTAAATCACAACACAAGGAAACTGGCATTTATACTGAGAAACATTAAACTCTTCCTCTCGTTCCAATAGGACGGTTCCAAAGGTTATCACTGTGTAAATTAAATGTTTTTCAGGTTTTTCCTCTATGCATTTTAAAGCAGCTAAAGTCATTTGGCTTTTCAGGCTAGGGTCTTTTAAGCCTTATGTAAGACATCTTAAATACAAAAATACATAATTTGGAGGTGCTAATAAAAATACCTGCAGTGTTGAACAGAACTTATGATGGTACTTTCAGTATTTGCATCCTGATCTACAGAGAATACACTGTAAATAAAAGGTTTTCCCTCCTAACATACTAATACAGCATACTTCACAAAAAGAAGTAAAAAACTTGTATAATCAGTATCACAGTCTTTAGCATTAAATTCAAAGGAATAGTTTGTCACAAGAATAAGCATATTTTGCATTGCACTTTTCTGGAAGACAATCATGCACCCATTACCAAAATCCAAACAAGTGAAAATGAATCCCACAGCCACTGTTCTGGTCCAATGATACCGACAAAGTGGTTTAGCTTATGTCAACCTTTTGAAAGCATCCATTTAGAAGAAAATGATTCCATCCTTATGGAAGTTACTAACAGTAACTGATGCTAAACTTGGCATAACTAATATTAAAACAAGTAATGTTTTCCTAAAAAATAATGACTTCTTATTTAGTTGTACTAAGATCCCACCATTTTTAGAAAGCCACTTTGCTATTCTGGGTCATCTACTTCCATGAAGATGTCACTGAAAAAATACTCTGAGATTTTGGTTGGCTCCTCTTCCTTCTCTTGATCTTCAGCACACTGGGGAGGCTTCTTGGATGGCTCATTATGTGGAGCCTAATAGAAAAAGAAAAGGCTATTCATAACAGAGCACATGTGCACGCACATATAAGCCTATGTAGATGCTTGTGCTGTCAATTCAGACAGCAAGATTAAAAAATTAGGAATTATTGGAAAAAGGAAAACAAGTAGGTTCCCCTCTCATCCCTCTGCTGGCACTAGGAATATTTCTGCAGCAAAAGCTGATAAAGATTTTGAGATGGACTGCATACTGGGCAGCGGTCATTCCCTTTGACTGACTTCACATATTTGCTGTGGGTGTCTGTTTAAACAGAGAACTATTGCTACAGGGTAATTCAAAGCCATAAAACTTCACAGAATAACCATCTTGTACCTATACACATTAATACAGTTATCAGCAGAGGCCCTCACAGCTTTACCTAAGTCGTGAAGGAAAGTACAAACCTTGTGCAACTTGTGCAAAAGCAACAGAGTAGAAAAATGGGCCACAACTCTGCAAGAAACCAAAGCGTTCAAAGACACATGCGCACAGAGACAGCAACTTAGTTCCCTTTTAAGTCTCCTAGACATGCACAAGTTAGGATCCATTCACTGCAGCAGACGAATCTCTCAAAGCCTGAGCACAGCATGCCCCCTACTCACTCCTGAGACAACTAATTCATGGCTTCTCACATCTCAAAAAGGCAGAAACATTCAGAGGCAAACATACCGTAACTACAGTATCAGCAGTTACGCTGTGATGCTCCGCAAATGATGATGTGCTTCTGGAGGGAAAGGAACAAGATTCCCTATCATCCTTATTAGATGGAGTTGTTTTTTTCAGACTTTGCTTTGTGGTCCCAGTCTGTGGGTTTGGGATCTTTCCTCTCTTCCTTTGAATTTCTTCTGCAGATTCAGAACTACTTTTTCTGCAAATTAAAGATACAAATCTCAGTGGTTTTCATCCACTCCACTCAAAACAAGTACAGTCAGCATGTAATAGAATTGAACCATAAAAGCAATGTATAAATAGCATTACAGGAATCCAGTTCACGATACAGCAAACACACACCTCAGAGATGCTTGAAAATTCTTAAGGAAAAAAACAAGAAGTTATCCCAAGGACTTCTGTATTACTGATTATTCTGGCACATGAGGAGTTTACAAAGTGTTAAGAGGAACACCTATCAACCTCCACTCTCGAGAACAAGAATATGTCACTTGTCTCTGAACCAGAGCCTCTAATTACCAGATGTTCAGAACAGCTTCTGAGAGGAACAGAGACACAGACCTGAAGGAAGAATTCAGAAGAGCACATCATGTAATTAATAGGAAAAAAAAAAACCAACATGATTCCCAAGGATTGGACTACGTCAGACTCTCCTAGACTATCTACACCAGAAAGAACCCCTGTTGCAGGGCTTCAGCCTTGCTGTTGTATGCAGTTACACAGAAGTCACAGTGACAAAGTATAGAGTAAGTACACACTGTATCAAAGCTAGTTCTCATGTTGCTAAGTAAGAATTTACAGTTTAGAAAAGCAAAGATTCTTAATTTCAATCATTTGTTACCCAGCTGCTGTAGACATCTCAGATACAAAGAACCACTTTTGTTGGGAACATAAATGTAATGAAAGAGCAAATAACAGGATCAGGACAGACCTGCGGAGCACCACGGTCAAAAACAGTGTGTACAAGTACAACAGAGAGAAGAAACTAAAATATTTGAATACTATAGAAAGGTATATTAAAACAAGAAAACATGGTTCAAACAGTTGGATGGACAGTTAAGAACAATATCCTCTGATCTGTCAGGGTAGAAGGTCCAATGGGAAAAAGACTAAAATTAGTACTTGTAGAAACACAGTGAGTACTACATCCACATCTTATTGACAGAAGGCCAAAAATCCTAACGAATGGGTGGGTGCATATATCTAAGCATTAGACAGAGCTAAGAAAAACAACTATCCTAAGTCTGTATTACAGCTTCATGGATGTCTGTATCTGAAGAGGCATCTGTCAGTGCCTAAAGAGATGTATCAGTAACATCCCCTGGTCAATCTATTTAATAATAATCTAAATCTATTTAATATCTAAAACACTTCAAATTTCAAAGGAGACAGTTTGATCCTTTTTAATTTCTGAGGAGGATGGGCCTATAATTCTTACAAGGATTGCAAAGGAGGGTACTGCTGCTCTTGTAATACTAAGTGGAAAGAGGATATCAATAACCCTATATGGAAAAAAATGTCTAACAGAAAAGGCTGACAAAAACATTCTATAGATACCTGAGTAATGGAGTCTTTGAAGATTCTGTTAGACTTTCAGTACATTCCAACTGCTTCATGTTTGCTTCATGTTTATCTCCCAGTTTTCCTTGTTCACTTATTTCTGTTCTGCTGGAGGTTAACCTACATGTCACCTCCTCTTGACTGGATGCTAAATTGTGAAATGATGCTTTCTCTGAAGTTTCACACTGGCTTCTCTCATCTACTGGTGAAACAGACTCAGACAGCGAGGCAGAAGTAACCACATTTTTCTTTGCTGAAGCCCCTGGTTTTTGAAAAGGATTACCTGTAAAAGAATAGAGAGCAATTAAGAAACTTCAGTTAGTTGCTTTCACTGATAACACCACAGTCCAAAAGATGAGTGTAACGTTAAAGTGGCTTAAAAGATGAGGGCTAATTTTTTTTTCCAGTTTTTTGTCTTTTGGTTTTTGAAACCACCACTAAGATGAAAGAAATCCACAATCTACTTTCAAAGTCTGTAAAGTCTTACAGATGTTATGTGGAAAAGCTGGAGAAGTTTAGTTTCACAGCTGCATCCCCAATCTTTACAGCATACAACAGAACTCAGTGAAGTTGTTTAAAATTCTCTCTTTCAAGTTTACTTCAGAACCAAGTAGTTCTCCAAACCCTTCAAAGGCTCAGCTGATTGAAAACTGTACTGTCAGGATTTGCCTGATTAAGTAGTGCTTGTATTTTTTAAAAGACTAACACAAAATAAAAAATGAATTGTGTTATAGCATGGTAACATTAACACCTTTGGTTATTAGCACTCTCTGGCAAGGGAAAATATTTTCTAAGCAGACAATAACAGGTTTGGTCTAAAAATCTCCTGAAATCCACAAGTAGAACAACTACAGCATTGCTCTTAGAACCATTACAAACCATTACTAAATTAACAGCCAGCTAGGTAATACAACACATCTGTTTTACAGCAGAAACCATGAAACTGAGGTGTTAGGGTGTTACAGGAAAAATTCCTTTCTCATTTTAAGTTAGCTGCAGACAGGACCACTAAGGATAATGACAAGTATCAAGCTGTGGTAGTATCAAACTAATCTATGCATTTAGATTTGTTACAATTTGCTTTTACAAGTTTAAATTTACCTACCAGAAGTTCTTGTTTGAGTATTTGTGGATTTACTTGAATACCCCTGTATTGAAAAAAAGAAAAGGAAGTTATTTATCTCACTATTCAAGAAACAATAAAAGTTGACAGAGGCACATCATGCATGTACACTTCTAAAAACAAGAGTGATAAAGAATAGATCTTCAGTAGAGTATAATTCACCATTCAACTCATTTCCTGAGCAGGCTTTCAAGGTGTTCCCATGAGAAATGATTCAAGACAAGGATGTCAAGATGAGTGGTCAATGAAGGAGGAGCAGTTTTATCCAGTCCTTCCGAGAAAAGCTCTCTGAAACGTATGTGAAATTATTGCTCATTCCCTGACACAGTCACACTACAAAGTCCTAGTCTGGTCACAGAAATTAATGGTAATCATTCCAACAACTGGGTCATTTTCAAAAAGCACACCAGGAAGCCCAAACAGGCAGGCCAGTCTTTCTTTGCAGGTAGACTGTGCCCACTAGGACAAAAATGTTACAAACATATTTAACAACTTCTTTCTGTAATAGACACCATCAGGAACCATTATGTTATCCAGTTAATCTATCTGCCAGTCATCCAGTAGACAGTTAGAATTCTCCCTCCTGCAATGTTGCCATCAGAAAGGCTGTGGTGAATGAACCAAATAATAAGATGTATTACCAGCCTGCATACTAGAAAGCCTAATAAAAATATCCAAGAACAAACAAATTCTCAAAAAACAAGTCAGAATCGACAGTCTAAAAACTGCTTTACCATTCAAAGTAAAAAGCAATCTATGAATGTCAATTTGCCTTTGTACAGCTGTACAGATAGTACAGATTAAGTCACTTTCTTCTAACTCCAAAGATAGTTAAAATGCTCTACTATACATTAAGTGTTTAGCACCTACACTATGCATAACGACACTGCTACCAAATTACCTTCTCACCTCACAAGGGTCTTCCATGTTACTCTCCATCAGAGTAGATACGGTTTTCTTGACAACAGGAAAAACATCTTCTGCAGGCTCAGCAGCTGACCTTTTTTGAGCTGTCTGCACCAAACTTGGAGCAGGCTCTACTGAAGCACTCTGTTGTTTGGTTTCCGCGCTGCTGTTTGAATATTCACCACGTTCATCAGCCTCAGCTGTTGACGATCCAATGCTGCTTATAGAAAGTCATAATTGTGACTTGTTAGGGTTTAATCCAGCTAGCAGATCAGCACTGCACAGCCATTTGCTCCCTCCTCCCCAGTAGCATGGGCAAGAGAATCAGAAAAAAAACCAAAACTCGTGAGTTGTGACACTGAGAATTTAATAGTTTGAGTCAACTGTCCTGCCTGTGTTTTCTCCAAGGTCACTGTGCACCCCCAGACTGGTTGCTGGCAGGGAAGCACAAGAATCAGAAAATGCCCTGTCCCTTTACATGCTGCTCAGCAACAACTAAAATGTCAGTGTGATATCAACATTAATGTCATGCTAAATGACATGTCATGCAAGCCCAGCCCTACATTAGCCACGAGGAAGAAAAACTCAATCCCAGCTATAACCAGGACATTGCTGTATAATAAGCCAAAATTCACCTTGTAGAACATTTCTATGTGGCTATTATACATGGATCTTTGGTAATACTCATTTCACTTAAGAGTCAGTATTGGCTTCAAGTGTTCAGTTTACCATAAAGAAACATTTTGCTGCACTATTTTAAGGCAGGTTAGAGAAATGAATTTTTCTAGTTACAGTCAAAACTAATTACTTTAGAAGCTATTCTATTTGAACCGCATTTGATACTTCCATAAAAGAGTAGACTAACTGCCCTAAATAGTCCAAAAATACAGTATTATTTGTACACACAGCTGAACCTTGCCTCTCATCCTCTCCTTGTCCTTCCTAGTATGATTCCAAAAGGACTGTGACATTTCAGGAAGCAGCAGAGATTAGGGAAATAATGTAAAGCAGTGACACAGAAGACATACCCTAACTCTGCCTGTCAGAAATTCTGTTTATCACCAGTAGTTCCACAGAAGTTAGAACTCTTACACAGTGTAACCAAAATTCACTCTTAAGGATCTACCCATTCAATAACAGGGCAAAGTCCTCTTCAGTGCTGGAGCATCACACCTGTTGTTTTTACCTGAGAACCTGCATAAATACAGGAGTACTTTATAAAGAATTACAACACTTACTATACCTCAGAATTTTTCCCTTGATTTTTTTCCCCTTCTTCTCAAGCTGAACAGATATCAATAATGTTGAAATAATTCATTTATCTTGCACTGAAGAATACTCCTAGTCCAGTATACACTGAAGCTCAAAAATATTTACCTCTCCACTTCAGCCAACCTGGTTGCACTTGATTTCACTGGGCTGATAAGTATCGGTGCTGGCAGTAATGGCTCTGAAGTTTGTTCCTGCAAAGCAGATGTATCGAACTCTTCTGAGTCAGCAAGGATTTCCACCAATGTTAAAATGAATGTCTGTTCTTCTTCCTCTGGACATCTATGGTCATCATTCACTACCATAATTTTCCAGGGAAATAAAAAAGTAACAAAAGTCTATTATTCAAGTTTAAAATCATACCGTTCTCTTCTTTGTGCCCTCCCCACATTGAGTAATGAGCATGTAAACCTCCATGAAAGAAGACACTGGGGATATCCTTCGCAAAATATGCTCACTTTCCTCTCAGACAAGATACTTATCACTCTCTGGAGCTCATTCATTGCAGTGGAATCCTTATAATCCCTCAGAAGAAAGAATATTGAGAATGCCTAATAGGGATGAAGCTTTTAAGATGGGTGTACTAAGAATAAAAAACATGTTGTTTAATCAACCCTGTGTAACTGTGGTTGTCAGATGGCTCTCTGTCTCTAAACACTGCTGTCACTTTCTTTAAGAGACAGAAGTCTGCTGCTGTTTTTTTTTTGTGGGAAGACTAAGACACCGAAGACCTAAGTAGTACCATCATAAATGTGATAAATGAGAAATAAAATTTAGTCAAAAAAATGGGCATTATCAACTGCCATTAAAATGAATTTTAGGAGACAACATTTCTAAAGGTTTTTTCAAAAATGTAAAGCAACAGCATTACTCTATTACTTAAGACAGCTCTAATTTTTAATGATGTAGAGCTGTTACTGCAACTTTAACTCATTTTGATTTTTTGCCTCATTAAAGATGATTTAAAATGCTCCACGAGACTCAAAAACAGAGCAGCAGAGCGACAGACATCTGAAAATAAATATTAACCCTACTTTTTGCACATGCCTGCGAATTTGGCAGGAAGACTGCAGTCTGCATGAAGAAAGCATTTTGGGCTTCCAACACTGATTTTCCAATATCTTATCCAAGTATTAGTTCCAATCCTCCAAGCTCAGTTTTAGTTTATCAACAAACACCTTTGCACCATGCATTACTTTTAAACAGCAGCTGAAGAGGAAAGTTTGTTTTCTTCCGTTATCATCCCCTCTTCTCGTCTTCTTCTTGCTCTATACTTGCACAGTCCAGCCCACCTACTCACATTCATTGACACTGGCATTCACTTCAGAATTTCATGAGCCACTGTAGCTCACTAAGCCACTGGAAAAATACACAGGCTTTCTCCCTCTACCCCTTCAGTTTTTGAGAGGTAAGTGAGTCAGTCTCACAAACAGCACTAACACTAAACCCAGCAGAGGTAATAAGCAGGTGCTCGCTGCAGGGAGGAAAGGGAAGAACTTCCCCTTCTACTGATATCTAAGCTTGAAAAATCCATAAAGTTTCCAAGCCTAGTATGCACTAATGAAATTTCAATAAGAGGCGAGAGTGGGGAATGGCAGTAAGCTACCGGTCCTTTTGTTTGTTCATTAAGTAGATCATTTAATCATAACAACACTTTTTTTTTTAATCTTTGCACCACTGATACACAAGCTTTTTGCTAATTAAAATATTAGTGTGCATTATACCTGAAGTCTCTGCTGCACTGCTTATATGTTCCTGTTCACAATCCTGAGCACGTGTTTCATTCTAGAAATAAAATATTTGAAATAAAGCAATATGGTAAGCTTGACACTACAAAACAAGAAAGAAACAAGGCATGTCAAACACTGAAGAGCCAGAAAAACTAAAATTGTGTTTTCTCAGCTTTTACTTCTAGGCATTTTAGGCTGAAAGATACCAGACCAACAAGGACAATATGTAATTTATGTGCAGCTCACTGTCTGTCTGTATGATTTCTTGAAATTAATTTATATTTCCCACTGCACAACTCTGTCACTGATGATTCACATAACAAATTTCTCTAAGAATGTAAATTCCCTCAACCATTACAAAACAGCTGAGTGCCAAAGAGAAGCACCAAGCTCTGCAACACACCTATCCTATGTCTTCTATTGTATGTACCTTTGCTAAGAAAAGGAATACTCCACTGCAAGCTGCCTCCTCCTACCATTTCTGCAATCCATTATGAGCACAGTCTTTTTTGTGCTCTGTTCTAATATGACACATCTACAGGTTGCACTGAAGAAATGAGTTACTGTTCTTCAGCCATTCCACAGTAACTGCAAGTACATTGGTACCAAGCAGTGCTGGAGGTCTCAAAGGAAGTGTGAATGACATCCCCCTCAGGAAAAAATAAGATACTTATTTATGCTAGAACAGCATAAACCACTGCAAAACTGAAGATGTGAAACACATACATAACCATGGCCAAATAGGTATATGTAAGAGTTAGTTATGCATAGAAATGGGAAGGAGTACAGCAAAGGATGAAGTTTATTTAAACAAAATTAAGTTTGTTTTAAGCAAAGCAAATGAAAGTGACAATGAAAACGCATTGTCTCTGCTGTATATAATTTTAGTTTAAATATATTTAACAAGAAGAGGCCAGGCTGAACGACACTGGAGTCACAGGTACTTCTTCCATCAAGACCCTGAGAAATTCTCAACACTTTGCTAACAAGTGTCATTTATTACTGAAACCCTAAAAACTGAGGCTTGTTAGAATGACTAAATATAACTATACTTGTGCAAAAAAAAAAAAAAAGAAAAGATTTAATTCACCATCTGAAATAACAGGTCTGTAATACAGAGTTTGAGAAACTGACTGTAATTAAAAAAACCAGACTGTAATTAAATTACCTGAGCAAAGCTGCCTGTACATTGACTGTCCTTGGCAGGACCAGGATTTTGAACAGCTGGTCTGTCCACAGAACTTTCATCCAGATAATCCTGTAGTCCAACGTGAGATTTCTCACATTCTGCTGACAAGTTCCCAGAAGTTCCACAAGCATCTTTCATCTCTTTCTGTGTTCTGTTAGATACATATCCAGGTAGTTTGAAACCAATTAAGAGTACCCTCTGTATGGGCTAACCTCTGTGTAGCATGATTCTAATTATGCATTTAATGTGAAGCCCACATATTTACCTGTTTAAAAATTACTGAAGAAAACGCATAACCTTCAAACAAATCTACATGAAGTATTTCAGTAAAATACCTCCCTGACACCACTAACTTGAGACTTTACTAATAAAGGCACGACCAAGCCAGAAAGCTCAGAAGCTCACTAATGCTTTCAAATTGATCAATTAATTACAGTTTCCTTCTAGACACAGTTTAATGGCAGACAGTTAAATAGCAAGCTGATTATAAAGTACTGAAACAGCAAGCACAAATTAATGTTTACAACCAAAAAGTCTTCAGGTGACATTTAAGAAATAAAAACCTTAAAAACAGAAGTCTAAATTAAATTTCTATGCATTAACACACATGCAATGTTCATAAGCATACAATTTCCACCATAAATGTGCTACACATACACCTCAGCTGCTTATTTTAGAAGACCCTAGGAATAAAGCCAGTATTAGCTGATGATTTCTTCCTACCTCCCTTTGTTGTCCATTTGCTTGACGAGATCCATACCAGTTGCAAAGTTCTGCAGCACAGAAGTATCCCTTGAAGTTGGTCCAGCTCTGACCTGTTCCACCTTCTGTGTTTCTGCAGTAACTCTCGAGTCCATGGACTCTAAGATACATAAAGTTGTATTTTAAGATGAGTTACGTTACGTCATTTGTGCACAATCCTGTACATAATTTTTACATGTAAGTTCTTGTATTTAACGTGTATATATGCAAACTGCATAAACATACATATTGAAGTTTATTCTTACACACATCATCTATATTTTATATTTAAAAATGTTGGTATATATACAGGTTACATTTAATGTCTCATATTTATGATATACACATGTATCATTTTGCCTTGATATTTTGTGCTCTTTGCCAGTGCCAAAGAGATAATTAGGAACTGAAAATGTGAACACCTTGCACACCACTACTTTCTGTAACTGCATTACAAAAAACAAAACTATTCTGCACATCTCCCCTTTCCATCAAAACGATGGAAAACAAAGACAGTAATAACAGAAAGAAAGCACACTGCATTGTACCTCTGACATTGGCAGCCCAGTAATTGATTTTCACATTTCATTTAATTTTAAATTGAGGCTTTTGTTTATGTATAAAACTACAACAAGTGAATATCTCATATTATAGCATTGATGTGTAATCTGTGAACAGGCATTGAAAAAGTCCTTTCAACTCTAAGTTTTATGTTATAAAGAGCCATGAATCCACTAGAAATAACTATTTTCAAAACCCCAGGATAAAAAACAGGCTTACCACTTTGAATGCTGTCTAACTGCTCCATAACTACATTTGTATTAAGAGGTTTCTGAATTATACTTTCATTAGACTTCAGTACTCCTGTATTTGACTTCTGGAGACTGCCTCTTCTCAGTCTCATACTATTCACCATAGGCAGAGAGTTATTGCTAAAGGTAAGAAGGAGAAATACCATCAACACAGCTCTTGACTTCTTGAAAGCTATAGCAATAGGATAAAATTACCATTTTCAGCAGTGATGTACAAAAAAGATGAGAGAGGTAAAACAGATGCTAATGAACAAATGAAATACAGCTGAGAGAGCAGGCACTGTTTGGCAGAAAAAAAACCAAAACAAAACATCAGCTACACTGGTAACTACTGGAACAACTAAGTTTATTGCACGCTAGTATGTACTCTACCAAAATAACTGAAACACTTAAAAATGTGAGATGTCAGTGATCTAACACTGATCACATGCCATAAGTTCTGTTTAAAAATATAATAACAGTTGAACTTAAAGTAAAAGCTTCAATTACAGTTTTCAGAAGAGTCAAGCTGATAATTTGTTCAACAGTCAACAGTCTTCCAAATAACAGAACATGATGATCTCTAGATTTCTTCTGAAAAAGTGTCCCATCAAGCTATTTTAACTTTTAAGAATATTTGAGTAAAATTGAAGAACACAGTGATAGAAGATCACTGCTCCTTGAGATCCGTTTGTTCTACACAGTAGAACACAGTAGCAGTGACACTTAGGCAATTTGCCTTGGCCCAATTAGCCATAAAGTACTTTGGGAAAATGATCTTAATGATTAGCAGCAATTTCATACCAAAAAATTTCTATCATTCTCCACTCTCGAACTTAAATTAACTTCTGGAGTGAAGAATAAATTTGACATTCTCAAATCACATACCAACACCTCAAAAATTACAAAGAAAAGAAAAGGGTGGGGGTTCCATATTACATAGAAAATTATCTAAGCTGAAGAATTTTCACAAAAGCCAGACTGCTTGCAATTCAAGAAAAAAATCCAGAGAGAGCCTTGCAAAAGTAAGCAGTGTCAGATGATCTGTCTCTATAAATTAACTGAAGTAATTTCACCTGGCATCTGTTTCATTTTTCTCAGAATATTCTTCAACACCTGTTCCTGCACCAGTGCTTCGGTCTTCTACTTTAATGTTGCTTCCATCCTTGCAAGGGACATTGTCAGAAGTCGCTGAAGAAACGACATAGTGATTAGGAGCTCTGCTTTGATCTGAGTCGTCCTGGCTCACAAGGCTTTTGGCCACGTTGAGTTCATCTTGTGCAGGTAACATGCATGTCCATTCTAGTTACAGTAGCAAACAAAGCAGAACAGCAGAATTTAAAAAGTTAATTAATATTCAAGCAATGGAAGTAGATGATAAATTCTATATGAAAATCTACCAAAAACTAGACTAAAAGCCTGTTAATTTAAGGTTACAGCTAGTCAGAAGGAAAGACCTACGTTTCAATTTAAAGGTCTGGAAAGATTATTTACATCCACTTAACCCCAGATCCTCTTTTTTGTCCAATCTGTGCAGCCAACATAGATCAATTAAAACATATCCTTCCTTAATTAGCTCTCAGAAACACAGTGATCCAATTGGTACTATCAGTAAGGTGCTTTGCTTTTTCCATCCCAGCTGCATTGCCTAGTCACCTAGTGTAAGTATGTGCTACAATTCAGCAGCACCAAACACATAGAAGACTCTTGCCCTCCTGCTATGTAGAGAAGTTCTGCAGCTACTGCTCTGTTCCTCCTTAGGTGGATCCAGAATGCACAAGGAAGACTTTGTCTCATAAATCACATCATACCTTCAGTGCTTGCTTTTAACTGGAACGTTGGATCACCCATTGCAAGTAAAGTCATGGCAGCTTCAGTGCTTCCATCACTAATTCCTACAAAGTTGTTCAAACACAAGTTAAAAATCACAAGTACACTTACAAAAAAATTCATTTACCCACACATTCAAAAAGCATTTGATGTTATCATTCATGCAGGGCAGAATGTATTTTTTAAATTGTTGCCATTCATGAATTAAGATACTCATGGACAGATGGCAATTCTTCTCCACTAAATTCAGTATTCCCTGAATGATACTCCCTGAAGGAAGTGCAGTCTGGAAGACATATGGTGGAGAAGGCTCATTTTGAGGAGTTGGTTTGTGAACAATTGTTTCTCATAGGAAAGACCACGTACTAGACCAGTAGAAAAGCATGAGAAGGAAGGTGTGGCAGTGGTCAAGTAGTATGGACTGACTGCAGCTCCTTCTACCTCTGTTCCTGATTAGCACAGAGCCAGGAGTGAAGGTATCGAGTTGAGTGCGGGAAAGGCCAGGATGGGAAGAGTGGTGGGGAAGAGATGTTTTAGTCTTCTCCGCATCTCACCACTCAACTCTGCTTTTAGTTAGCAATAAAATAAACTTTCACCATGTCAAGTCTGTCTTGTAAAGTGATCTCTCTGTCTACATCTTAACCCATGAGGTTTTTCCATCTTATTTTCTCCCACTGTCCTATTAAGGAAGAGAACTGACAGAGCAGTTGGTTATGCATCTCATGGCCAACCATGCCACCACAGATGGAAAGGGGGGAAGTGTTTAAATGCAGATATTCATAATCTGTAGCACTGAACTATCTTCCTGTTTAAACTTCTATTTCCTAACTAACTGGCCATATAAAACTAAACATTTCCATCCTCCAAAATTATTGTACTGAAATGAATCAAAGCAAGACAGTAGACTTTCCTTCCTCAACCAAGACAGTAACCCTGCCAATATCAAGTGCTACTTACAAAGACTGAGAATGTATTTAAACTCCCAAGTGAAAACAATCCTGAAAAGCAATAGATCTGCAAGGGTTTGATACGTATCTCCTATGGAAGGAGTATTTTCTTCTGGTCACAGTCCAGTTAGAAACCATACAGGGGACAAAGCTGTGACTCTGCCCACTCTTATCACTTTGTGACATATCAAGTAAGCTGTAAGTTGGGTTTTGGAATTAGATGATATTTAACATTCTTTCCAACCAAGCCATTCTATGATTCTGTGGTTTGTAAAGTTTCCTCCTCTCCCAGTACAGATAACTGCAGCATAGGACTCAGAAAATGCAGTCCCACTCCAAGAAACAAAACTTTGCAATGCTTGCTCCACCTACCTAATAGCGAACAGAAGAATGTAAATAGTTTAAGCCTTTTCAAAAAACATGAAACAATCCAGTACCTCATGAGCATTTTTTTCCTAAGATACATGAATTTTGAAATTTTATCCATGAGTAACCACAAATTGGTAGCATGTTAAAGGGGAAGACATAGACAAGATAAATGCATATCTACCTTTGTCTGCTTCTGGACTTTCATGCGCAGTTGCTTCCTTAAACAAAAAGAAAAACATGTCAGAGATTTACATAAAAATCAGTCTGCAATTTTAATCTAACGCATACTGGTTAATTCTCTGCCCAAAGGTCACCCTGGCTTTAAAATACTATACTACAAGCTGACAGTATTTTACAGTTTTCCATATCTATACTAGCACAAGCAGGCCTGGAAACCAGTCAGAGGCCACAGCTTTGTATCTGCTATAAAATAACAGAGAGAAAGGAAAGTGAAGGAAAAACGGAGGGTGAGGAAACAATGGGCATTTGTCTCCCTCATCAACTGGATGCCCAAGCAGAAAAAGAATGCCATAATAATCAATAGTTTCTGTGAGATGGTTCCCAAAGCACAAAGAAGATGGCAGTGCTGAGTACAATGTCGAAAAAAAAAAGATTCTTACAGCTGGTAAGGTGTTTCCTTTTTCCTCCTCCTGTATGACTGGCTGGACAGATACATGAGAAAGACCTTCTGCATTAGTAGCCACTGGCACATCTGGGATATTCACAGATATATCCAGCTGTAAAAATTAGTTTGAAAGCATTTCAGTTCATCAGCCGTGACAGAAAATCTGTCAAATACGTTGTTTTTTTTTCCAAATAAACTGCATGCTTAGCAGATGCCGAGCATTTAATGGGATCCCTCTATGAATCACAGAATCACAGAGTAGAATCATAGACTCAGGTTGGAAAAGACCTTAAAGATCACTGAGTCCAACCACAACCTAACCATACTACTCTAACTCTAACAACCTTCTGCTAAATCACATCCCTGAGCTCCACATCCAAGGATGTTTTTAAACACAACCAGTCACCTCCCAGGGGAGCCTATTCCAGTGCTTAACAACCCTTCCAAAAAGAAGTTTTTCCTGATATCCAACCTAAACTTACCCTGGCACAACTTGAGGCTGTCATCTGTCATCAGTGAGGAGTGACCAACCCCCCTCTGCTGTAAGCACCTTTCAGGTTTTGGAAGAGAGCAATGAGGTCTCCCCTCAGCCTCCTTTTCCCCAGACCAAACAGCCCCAGTTCCTTCAGTCTCTCCTCACAGGCCACATTCTCCAAGTCCTTCACAGCCTTGTAGTCCTTCCTTGGTCCTGCTGCAGCACCTCCATGTCCTTTCCGTACTGAGGTGCCCAAAACTGAACACAGTACTCGAGGTGAGACCTCACCAGTGCCAAGTACAGGGCAGGATGAGTTCCCCAGTCCTGCTCACCACAGCATTCCTGACACGAGCCAGGATGCCATTGGCCTTCTTGGCCACCTGGGCACACTGCTGGCTCACATTCAGCCCACTGCCCATCAGCACACCAAGGTCCCTTTCCATCAGGCAGCTTTCCAGCCACTCCTCCCCAAGCCTGTAGGGGTGCCTGGGGTTGTTGTGACCAAAAAGCAGGACCCGACACTTGGTGCTATTGAAACTCATACAGTTAACATTGCCCATCGATCCAGTCCATCCAGGTCCCTCTGTAGTGCCTTTCTCCCCTCAGGCAGATCAACACTCCCTCCCAGTTTGGTGTTGTCTGCAAACTTACTGACAGTGCACTCAATCCCCTCATCAAGATCATTAATAAAGATGTTGAATAGAAACAGCCTAGTAGTAAACCAAAAGGAGAGCAGGAGGCACTTTCCTTTCTAGTGTTTGTTTTATGGAGATGATACTATGTCTCACTACAGTCTTAGAGTTCTGAGTCTAATTCTAGTTTAAAACCACAGCTGAACATCAGGCCTGTACGCTTAGCTATAAAAGCGGTCCACAGAAGAGGCAAAACATACAGCTTTTGAAAAAATAATTGACAAAATGTAGGGACCACAGCCTTTGGCTCTGCCCATGCCAAATATAGCAGGATATCCCTTGAAAAACCTCCAGACTGTGGAAGAATTACACTGGAGCATAGAGAAGGAGTGGAGTCTACTGCTATGTCAAACTCTACAGCCTGGACTAAAGGGATACAGGGCTGGGTCTTATAACAGATATACATTTAAACTTAACCTATTATTTACATTTTATTTTACAAGAAGTACTATAACAGGAACCACATGAACAGAAGACAAACCTCCAGAGAAACCAGAAATTGTACTAGTGATCAGCCTGAGCCAGCTCTGGCATCAAAAATTCAATGTAACACACCACTTCAACTGTCCTCAACAACCATCATAATAAATGGAACACAGGTCATGGGCTAAATGAACTCAGTGGATATATGATGGACATTTTATGGGGGTAGCCACAGACCAAGGGAATGTTATCCATGTATCTATCGAAGGACTAGAAAAGAGGTTGTGGTTAAATAAGGATGCACTAGATAGTGTACAACAAGTGAATGACAAATATTATGAAATGAAGGGGGGTGAAGGTTGCACGGAGTATGGGTAGGATGAAGCTCCAGGAGGAGGAGGAATGAGGCGTTTGTGACAGTGTCTGTCTTCCCAAGTAACCCTTATGACTGCATAACTTTACCCTGCTGTTCAGGAAGCACTCTGCTGGTGGAAAGTAGTGAATAAATTCCTCATTTCGCTTTGCTTTCACATCGCCTATGGAACTGTCTTGATATCAACTTTCTCACTTTTATTCCCAGACTTGCTAGAGAGGGGAGTGAGGAGGAAGCAGCTGGGTTGGTGACTTGTTGTTGGTTGGGGTCAATCTACCACGCCACTAAAATTCCCTGATGGCGTGGCAGTGGCAGAAACCACACACACAAACTTCTCTCTCATTGCCTAACATGCAAATGTAGAACTGAAATGCTCCATTTGCTCAATCCTAGGCCTCAAAACATGCGGTAAGCATGTCAGGCTGTGCCTAAATTCAGTCCCAAATAAATTACCTGGTGAGCACCCTGCAGACCTACTGACAGTTCATAACACTACCTGGATCTCAGGCTGATGTAGTCTCACTTGAAACCAAGTACATGTATCAAGTAAACATCCTTGCTACTGTCAACACTATCCTTAATGAATTAAACTAAACTGGGATGAAAAGAAAACAAGTAATAGAAATTGCAATTAGAATAAAAGCATCTGTTTAAACAAACAAAACAAACGTGTACACAGAACACAACTACATTATACCTCTTCCATCGTTTCCTCTATCTGAACAGGAATAGGCTTAGGAGATCTCAGACCTACAGGAACAAACACTGGTGCTTTGTTCACTTCCTCTAGAGCAAAACATTCATCTTCATCATCAGGCTCAAAGTCATTTGCTTCCTCCTCATCTTCTTGAGAAGCCCGGAGGGTCACCAGGCTGCTTGTTTTTGAACTTCTCTGCTCCTTCACAGGTTTCTTTCTGTGGGCAGTTCTCATGCTTTTGTTTCTAGTAAAACTTGATTTCAATTCTTGTCTTTGATTCCCCGTCTCACAGGGATCAGCCTCACATTCAGAGGCAGAAGATGAACCAGTTCTTAGCTCCAATCCATGTTTTGGTAATGCTGTCTGTTTTGATGACCTCCTATATTGTCTTTTAGAACACATAATAAGAGCACATAACATGAGTAAGTTAAAAATAATAATCAAGTCTAATACAATCAAAAACATTAAAAAAGAGACACCACAAATCAAAACTCAATGAACAGAAAAGGAGAAAAGGATCACTGTGATCAAGAATACAATGCTGTTACTTCCTGACACACACTGGCAAAAATGCATTCAGATATTACTCCATCTGAAAACCAAATCTTCACATATGCAGAAAGTACTGATTTCAAGTATACAGAAAGCAGTTTCAGAGTGCTGAAAAGCTGCATCATAAGATCTACAAGATATGGAATTTTTTATTAGAAATAACTTTCATTTGAGATAGGTGAAACTTGCAAACTTCTTAAATCATAGGAACTTCTCTAGTTTTCCTCTGCTGAAAGTACAGTAGAGAACCGAAACCATGAGATTTTAGTTAATCTTACTAATGCCTAGAAACCAGAACTGTTAGCTGAGAACTAATTATCTGCTCACGTTTCTCAGAACACAATCTCTTTGAATTAGCTACCATCTCCATCCTCAACGAGATGGTCACAATTGCTCTTGGCAACAAAAATAATTCCAAATTTCACGCTTAAAATAGCTTCCATAGATAACTGAAACCAATGGAAAATGAAACCAAGTACAAACAGAGGGCACTTTCAGCACAGTTTGTTTAGATAAATCCCATAATCCCTTTGTCCCCAGTGTGGGTATTTTAAAGTCCTCCTTTTAAAATCTGGAACTTTCACTGAGACCACAGTGCAGCCCAGGGTAGGCTGGTGAGAGTGCAGGCTGTTCAGTTTATGAAGCTGCAAACAAAGGGTATAGGGATATCTGCATGCATCTGGAATGGGTCAGGTGGAAGACAGAAGTGCTAACATCCTACATGTGTTCTCACACACACACTCTTCAGAACTATGGCTAGTTATTAAGGTCTAAGAACAACAAACAATCAGTTGAACATGCAAACTAAAATTAATTGTTTTACCTCATCTGATCGTCTGATTTTTTTTGCTGAGGTGCAGAAAGCTGAGAATCTTCTTGTTCTACTTGACTCTCGTTCTCTAATGGTATCTCTGGAGACTGAAGACTATTCTGCCTGATTCTTTTATAGGATGGTTTCTCAACAGAGTCTGTAAAATCATGTTTTCTTGTAGACTCTGTGAAGGAAGCTGCTTCTTCTGTGTTACTGGAGTTTTCCTGAATAGAAGAGACAATTGCTATCATATTAAGTACATTTTTAAACTCATTTTAGTAATAAAAGAATTTGGAGAAGAAATTTTGAAGTTCTTGAGCACGTTCAGTTGCATTCCTCGTATCAACTGCAGCACTCAGTATCATCAGCAAACTTGCTGAGGGTGCATTCAATCTTACTATCCAGGTCATTGATAAAAATGCTGAAAAGCACTGGTGCCAACATGGAATCTTGAGGGAAACCATTCACAACCAGCCTCTACCTGGATATGGAGCCATTGCCCACAACACTCTTGCTGCTACCATCCAACCAGTTCCTCATCTACTGAATAGCCCACCCTTCAAATCTCTATCTTTCCAATTTAGAGATAGGAAAGTAATGTGGGACCATTACAAAGGCCTTCATTTTTTTTCTATAGGTTCAAGGAGCCTCAAATTTTGCTCATATACATTACTTACTGGCATAAAGTTCCTACCCATATCTTTTCATACAAAAAAATCTGCTTGGAAAGGAATAGAACTGTCATTTGAGAGAAATCCAATTCTACTTAAAAATTCAGTAAGCATTATTTCCACCAACTACGGGTACTTAGCTAAAAAAAACTGAACGATTTTAGTAATCCATCACAAAAACAAGGACCACCAAAAAAAAACAAAAAAACACTTTACTTTATATGCCACAACTTTTGACAGAATAAGAATCAGTATCAGATTGCTCAGGACTACTGAAGAAGTTGAAGCAGAAAAAGTCTGATCTTTATTCGCATGCATATCAACTTAATTTGATTAAATTGATCCATACTTCTAGAAAATTTGAGTTGTAGGCAGTATTGGATATTACAAATGGGATATTACCTTACTATCCATTGTTCAATGGATAACAAACATTAAATTCAATGGCAATGGTATTAGCATGCATATGACAATCACTGAATCAAAGAATGGCTTGGTTTGGAAGGCACCTCAAGGATCATTCAGTTTCAATTCTCCTACCACAGGCTGGGTAATCCAGATTTCTGCACGTACACTGTAAAACTTTAGTCCACACCTTACATTAAATATTTCCTAAGTGTTTAGATGTTAACTCAGCATTATTTCCAATTGTGAAGCATAACGAAAAGGAAAGCATCACCTTAACCATTTCTATTTACATACTGGATTTTTATGTCATCTATGAGTTCTAAGAAGCTAAACACAAGAACTGAAGCACATACAGGCTCAAAATGATGAGCACTTACCACTGATACACCTGTTTTTTCTAACAAATGCTCTTCTGTATTTCTAGTCTCAGCACTGTCTTCATCTCTCCTGTTTCTATCTTCTTCAGAATGACCCCTTTTTCTATGAGCTCTTGTTAGGTTTGGCTTTGGGTTCCTGACAGATACCCTTGCTTGCTGTGAAGGTTTTGTATCACATTGATTACTCTCTTCTCCAGAACTTAATTTTTCATTAGACCTAGAAAAAAATATTTTTTAACTTTCACTTTTCAGGCACCACAAAATACAGTTAGAAATGAATTCAAGTCTTCTGCGTATTTATTTATTCACTTAAACAGAGTCAGATCAGCGTCACAAAAGCTAGTTACAAAAGACCTACTGGCTTCAGGGATCAATAGTGGCTCCAGTCCTCCTAATTGTCTCATAAATGATCAGGATGAAGCAGAAGAGCCTACCCTCAGCAAAAGTGCAGATGACAAGAAACTGAGAGGACTGACCAATATGCTAGATGCTCACACTGCCATCCACAGGGACCTGATCAGGCTGCAGAAATGGGCTGGTACCTAGCTGTCCAGTCTCACAGCTTGCCTGGGCTGCACTGAGTGAACAGGTATTGTCTCAGGCTGCATATGTTGCTCTGAAAGTAATGCCTCCTATTTATTTCCCAAGAAACTACCAACTGCTACAAAGTGCACAAGAACACTACTTGATGGGACAAATTCTAATCTACAATTCACTATTTTTCAGCTCAGTCACCATTAGTCACACATTTTCACTAGTGATGAAGAAGATCCTGCATGCCCACAAAAAACTGCACAGAGGTGTCACTGATACTGCTGTACAGACACACCATCACCATCACTGTGCTCACATCTACTGTGTGGTCTCCATAAACGTTCAGTATGAGTTGATGAACGTCAATGGCTGCAGATTTTTTCTACATGAAGAAATTCAATTCCATTCCTTAGCTTCATTCGCACTTTATGTCAGACACCATTCTGTCAGACTGTCCCACTGCTGCCATCTGTTGCACAGCAACAACATGGAACGAAACACTGGTGGGAAGGTTCAATCTCCACTGCCACGCCACTGACATGCATCTGTGACACCATGGCCCAACATAACAGAACAGGAAGCATTACTTCTGGAGCAGCCCTCATAACATATGCAATACATTTCATGTGCTTAAGCAAAAAAAAAAAAAAAAAAAAAAAAAACTTATTTTAATATTTTAACGTTTTATTGCAACAAAAAATAGAACAAAACAGAACTACTGGGATACTGGACCTTCTTTTTGTGAAACTAATGCACCGATCCCTGGTTCAATGGTAGCAGCTGCAATTCTCAGTGAATTCTCCAGGTGTTCAGCACAGATTTTTGATGTAATATCTAAGAACTGGCACAGCTCAGAGCAAACAACTCAAAAACCTCTGCTGCAGACAAATAGTGTATCGCTATTTAAAACAAACAAAAAACAACAGAGCCCAAACTAAACCACCAGTAGTTCACCTTAACTAAGAAGTGTGCACTGAAAACATGGAATGAAGCTGCCTACAGGCACTGAAATCAAAGAATCAGAGAAATACAAATAAAAGGAAAAGAATTCAAATACAAATCTTTATGTACCACAGGAAAACTCTTCATACATGATTTTGCTGCACTCTGACCCTACCTGATTTGTTCACACAGTAGGTTTTCAGAAATACAGGGGACCCGAGGCACCTCTTCCTGTGCCTGTTCCTCATTGCTCAGCACATTTCCTTCTTGCAGTGCCGCTTCATTTTTGCCCTTTGATTTGCAATAAAATAGAAGTATTATCCAACAGAATGAAAAAAGGAGAATCAAGCAAGGTTATAAAGCAGAAGTTCACTTATAAAAACACAAAGAAGACTTTAACTCTTACAGAAAAATAGACTATCCTACATCTTCTCTTGATACTTTCTGGATTCTTCAACACAGACTTCAAGCAGGAGAGAAAAAAATGAGCTAAATGCCTATCGTTAGGTATTGCAATATAAAACAAACTTGCATTCTAGTTACTTAAATGTACATAATCCTTTTATGTGACATGCAACCCAATCAAAATTAGATCCTCATTTTCCAGAAGACATTAATACTACAAGTTGTAGACTTCACTAATTTCATACCTGCAATATCTCAACATTCAAGGGTTTGTGGGATTTCTTTCATAGCAGATGGTGTCTCTGCTTCAGGGAATGAAAGTTAAATTTTCTAATATAACTGCCTATTATAGAACATGTAACTTGGAATCACATTTTTGAAGGCAAAGTAGCTATTCCTAGTAGACTTACAATGGCAGACACACGATGAGCAGACTCAGTTTTTTGCACTTCCAAGTTGTCTGCTTCAAATTTTTTACCCTCATTATTTTCTGGTATTTGCAATTCTTTTCTTCTAAAACCTTTTCCCAAGTTGGGCTTGTACTTCTGGAATCCACTCCTCACTAATTGGACAGGTTGAAGAGGTGCTTGTTCACCTTCACCTTGAGTTGTGATTGTTCCATCGATGCTAACACAACCAGAAACAAACAAAATCAAATTTAATGCAAAAGCATGTCATTGAAAAGCACGGGTTCACTGTATGTATAATATAAAACACAGCTTACTTTTTGAAAGACATTACACAAATGCAAAGTTATGCTGAATGTTAAATTATGCAAACAAATCTTTGTTTCAGCAAATATGTATAGCCGTTTGTCTCCTAACTACTTCCATAACAGAAATAATTCTTAATGACTCCTGAATGCTCACAAATAACAAGATGGAAAAGTGATCCTACAATAGAACGGATGAACGCCTCTGGCCCTCCAAAAAGGTCCCACCTAAAAAGTGAGGTATTTGACAGCCCAGTTGAAGTGTCTCCCTACCAATGCATGTAGCATGGGTAACAACCAGGAGCCGGCAGCCACTGTGGAGCAGAAAATATATGGTCAGATCACCATCGTGAAATCCTGTTTGTTTCATGCCTTTGTGGTACGAATCACACCTAAAGCATTGTGATCAATGGCTATAAACTGTTGAGAAGAAACAGGCAAGAAAGGTAGAAGAATTGCCCTCTATTTACAAAAAAAAAAAAAAAATTGATTTCAACTAGTGCTGTCCTTGAAAAACAGCAATACATAATATGGGTGAAAATTAGAGACCAAATCAACAAAGGAAACTATGTGGTTGGTGTTTACTACCAGATGGAGAGTGCTGATGAAGAGTTCTTCAAACCCCTGATGCTGCCAGGTGATTTTAACCACCCTGACATCTACTGGAAAAGTGATAAAGCAGCTGCAGGCAGTCGAGGAGACCCTTGCAGTATACAGAGGATAACTTCGTAGTTCATGTGGTAGGAAAGTCCAAACAGAGAAGATGCAGTGATCAACTGCTGGTTCATGATCTTAGCTGAGCTATGCAGTCAGGACCCTAAATTTTAAGGAAGTGAAATTCCAAGTTTTTAAGGGACTAGTGGATGGGATTCTCTTGAAAACAGCCGTCATAGAAAAAGAAGAGAGCCAGCAGATATTTAAAGATATTTTCTTGGAGCACAAGAGCTCTTGATTCCCATGTGCAAGACAGTGGGCAAAGAAGGCAGGAGACAAGCATAGCTGAGCCAGGACCTCCCAGTTAAACTGAAATGTAAGAGGGAATGCACAGACAGTGGAAGTAGAGACTCACATCCTGGGAAGAATAATGGGATACTGACAGAAGCGTAGGAATGGGATCAGGAAAGTTAAGTTGACCTGGGAAGAGATTCTAATGAGTACATGCATCTGTAAAGGAAGACAAAAGAAACTGCAGCCCCTTGAATGAGACAAGGACATCTGCAACCATCAGCATGGAAAACACTGAGGTACAACTTTATCTCAGTTTTCAACAACTGCTCTTCCTACATCTCCCAAGTCCCTGAATCTCAAGGCAGGGTCTGGGAGTATGAAATCCTATCTATCTTATGAGAAGATCAGGTCTGAGTTTACACAAGGAACCTGAAAGTACTCAAGTCCATGGGGACAGAATGCATCCTATGACCCTAAAGGAATTGCCACAGAGGAAGTATCTGAGCCAATCACCACCAAATTTGAAAAATCATGGCACTAAGTCCTCATGACTGAAAAAAGAGGAAACATTACTTACATTTTTTTAAAAAGGGTGTAAGAGGAGACCTTGCAAACTCCTGACCAGTCTGCCTCACCTCTGTGCCTGGTATGATCATGGAACAGATCCTCCTGGAAGCTATGTTAATGCACATGGAGTACAGGGAGATTGATTAGAGACAGCTAACATTGCTTCACAAAAGGCAAATCATGCTCAGCTAATCTGGGAGCCTTTTACAATGGAATGACTCCACTGATAGATAAGGGAAGAGCAAATGATGTCATCTACCTTGATTTCTGTAAGGCCTTTGATATGGTCCCTTTTGGAGTAGGGCCCAAGCATAGCCTGCTGAAAAAGGGGAGAGGTCATGCAAGGCTGGAGAACAGGACAGGGCTCAGGTCCATGAAATGTCCTCTAGTTGGCAATGAGAACTGCCCCAGCCATGCAGACCAGGTAAGGCCACAGCTATGCCTCTGTTAGTCTACTTGCGTTACCTACACCTAACGATGTGCAGCCTATTATTCATGTCAAAGGCCTGAGCTATGACTGGAAGTTGTCAAGGAATAGAGAAGAGCTGCCTTTGGCAAAAACGTGGAGACTATAAAAACCATGTGATGATTAACAAATAAGCAATCCATGGCATTTAAGGGAACTGAAAATGATATCTTAAGGAGCCAACAGAAGATTCTCTGCTTTTCTGTAAATTCTTGCATTTTTCACATCCCTACTAATATCTTTGTTTGCATACCTTGTAACAGCCGATTTCCCTCCTCATTCCACTCCCCCCATTTATCATGGCAAACCACACATAAAAGTTATATAAAGTCAGGACACTAGAGAACAGCTTTCAGAGCTCCCTTCAGCCAGCCTGAGACCCCCTGCTTGCAAGAGCCCCCCCCTCAGACCTCATGCTGCAATGGACACATCAGGTCATATAACTTTTCCATCCTAATTTACCACCTCCCAGAACACTGATCAGTCATAGGCTAACAGTTTGCTTAGAATACATGATTATAGATGTAAGTGCAACACCTTGCTCAGAATACATTTAATAAAGTGTTTTGGTGCACCTGATCAGTGTCAGTGAAGTATGCCATAATCGCTGCCTTTTCACTGGACAAAATAAATCAAGGAATAGGGGTAGGATGGATCCCCCACAACACTTTTGCTTCTCAATTGGAGAGATATGAATGTATTGGGTGGATTATTAGATGGATTAGGAAGTGGCTGAATAGACACATCTAAATAATTGCAGTTAACAGCTCCATGTTCAAATGGAAAGCTGTAGCAAATAGTGTCCGTACTGAGAGTAATACCATTTAACATCTTCATTAATGAGAGTCAGGAGGGTTGAGTGTATCCTCAGTGAGTCTGTGGATGACATTAAACTGAGTGGTGAAATTGATATGATAGAAGGAAGGGATGCCATTTAGACAATCCACAAGATGTCAGCCCATGTGAATCTCCCATGTGAACCTGCAAAGACTGGAAGGATGACCTGAATGAGAGCAGCACTGCGGATAAGGACTTAAGAGATGAAAAACTGGATATGAGCTGCGCTTGCAGCAATGCGCACTTGCAGCCCAGAGGCAATTATATTCTGGTCTACATCAAAAAGAAGCCAATAGGATGGGGGAGGAGTTTCTTCCCACCTACTCAGCTTTTAGGAGACCCCATGTGGAGTACTGCATCCAGTTCTGGGGTCCTCAGCACAAGAAAGATGTAGATCCATTAGAGAAGGTACAGAAGAGTGCCACAAAAATGATCAGAGCCAGAAAAATCTCTCCTGTGCAAAGACAGAGAACTGGGTTCATTTGGCCTGCAAAACAGAAGGCTGGGGGAGACCTCATCAAATCACTTCAACATTTAAAGGGGGCTTATAATAAACAGAGAAAGACTTCACAAAAGCCTGGCAGAGTGGTGGGCAAAGGCTGCCCAGAGTTGTGGGTACCCCATAGCTAGAGGTGTTCAAGGCCAACTTGTTTGGCAGCTTTGAACAACCTGATCTAATGTGAGGTGTCCCTGTCTTTGGCAGGGGAGTTGAAGCTAGATCTCTTACAGACCAAACCTAAAATGAACATTCATTAATTTGATGCTTAGCTTAACAGTAACTAGAGCTTTAATACAGTTAACGTTAAAACTATAATAAGTAACATTCAGTATTTTTATTAGACTTTCTTCACCAATTGGAAATCCACTAGCAGAATGGTTTCCTCTTAAAATGCCTTCGTTGTTAGTCAAGGTATAATTGCAGCTAGACCCTTACCCAGCATTAATACTTGAGGTGTCATTTTGGTTATTTACAGGTGGACAAGCCTCCAATTTGCCATACTCTGATTCGGAAAGTGTGTCTGGGGGCTTAAAGCTTGAGCTCTCAGAAGCATCCTGAGGACCAACTGACTTTTCTTTTCCTAAGGATTCCAATGACTGCAGAACATCACAGTTTTCTGCTTTCTGTAAAATAGGAAAAAAAATATGAGCAAGAAAAAGTCACGGTACTAAACCCAAAAAGGAGATATTTTTATGTCACAAAGCTCAGTATTAATCACTCCCCAAAGTGTTTCCTGTCCAAAAAGGCCATCTCCTTTTAATTGTCCACTAATAATTTCTTAGGCTTTCCAAGAAAAATTAGTATTTCTTTCTTTAACTAAACACCTTGAAATGTAGGTTTCTTCTTTGTTATCTGTTTTCATTACTTTTATTTCTTCACTGTCATTTCATGAAGTCCACCTCAGGGTAGAAACAACTGTAAAGTACAAGAGCTTCCACACAGAAGAGCATAGCTTTTGAAAAATGGATTGTTTCTAAAAAGATTAATCTGTCATTTCTTTCAATCATCAAATGCTTTTTATAGTTCCACAAACTCATCAGCTGAAATCCAACTAAGGAAAAAAAAAAAGCCTTACATTTGTATCAAGAAGGATGCAACATTCATGACTGCTCTGCATCAAACTTTCTTTCTTGTTGGCATCCTCTTGTGATACACCTTTATTTATATCCATCACTTCTTTTCTACTAGTTGTTCTGAAATTGGGCTTTGGTCTATGGAACCGACTCCTCAGTAACTGAACTGAAGAAATAACAGTTTTGTCCTCTTGGTTCTCAGGACCAGACTCCCTAAAAAAACAAACAGTTGATGGCATGAGGCAATGTGAATTCTCCAAACCATATTTCACACACTTGTATACAATTTTTGGTAGTAGCTAGAAAACTGTACTTCATTTTCTGCAGTAGCTAGAACAAGAACAAAGTAATGGACATTATGAAAAGGTCCAACCAAAAGCACATTGAACATCATCAAGAACCTGTAACTTGCAAGTAGGTCAGCAAATGTAAGAAAAAAGAAGCAATTTCAAAACAACTGCAATTTCTAGTCACACTCCAGGAGGACTGTGAACATTTTACCAAATCCTTTACCTAGCTAATAATTTCTAGAACTACAAAAGAGACCTACAGCATTTTAAAAATTCTTATTCATTCACTTTTTTCATAATCCAAAGGACAACTTATCAGATATGTCCAAGCTGTGGCTTGTGGGCTGTGTATGGCTTGGCTCCGCTCAGCACATCCTGTGGCTTCTTCCTGCCCTGCACCATCACAGTGATGGCTCTTCCCCATCAAGCAGCCCAGCCTGGCCCCCTGCACACCCATTGCTCAGCCACCACCAAACATCAAGGTGTGACTGGCACTGTCCAAGCCAAAACCAGAGCATGGGGATCCAAAATCTCTGACAAACATCATATGGAGTCTGCTCTGAAAGGAATGCCTCTTGTTTCATTATGTTGGCCTACGATATCAGAGGCGAATGTTGGTGGAACCAACCTTTCCACCAATATTCTGTAAAGATTTTTGGCTCTGTGACAGATGGCAGCAGAGTGGCAGTCTGACAAAATGGTGTCTGACATGGAAGTGTGGATGAGGAATGGTGTGTCACTGAATTCCTTCATGCAGAAAAAACTGCACCCACTGACATTCCTCAACACCTGCTGAACATTAATGGAGACAAAACATACAGAGGCAGTGGGTGACGTGCTTCAGCAGTAGCAACAGTGGGCCACTTGTTCATTGATGGTGAGAATGTATTGCTAATGGTGGTGTTGAAAAACAGTGTTTTGTGACTCAGAATTTACTCTATCAAATAGTGCTGTTGTGCTCTTTGTAGCTAGGAACAAAAAGAAGGCATTACTTTCAGGCTGACCTATGTATTTAATATGAGCCCAGGACAATTTCTCTTCATGTGATACATTCCAGACAAGCCTAAAGACTGGACACTCGTGGTTTTATAGGAAACCAACCCTATACTGAGGAACTTACATAAGCATTTTATGATGCTTATGCTGTTAGGACCAACATGGAGAAGATAACCACAGGAACTGAGTATCCCTTAGGGATTTATTTGAAAACGAGGTTCATCATGAAGATCAGTCCCACAGAGCTTTTGGATTTTGTTTTTCTGTTTGTTTGTTGTTTAGGTTTAGTATTGTCTTGATTAAAAGTAAGCTTTATATTTGTAACAAGATATTTAGCTCTAGAGTTCAATGCTCAAGTGTGGTGTGTCCGGAGATACTGATGATTTTGAACTACCCCATCTGTCCACTTAGAAATTAACCTTACCCTGTATTGAAATCTGAAACATCTTTCAAGACATCTGAAGGTCCTTTGTCATTTTCCACAGCTTTTAGCTTCTGTGGACTTTTCTTGGGAGCACCAACCATATCCTAAGAGGAATATAAGTTTCACTCTATTAAGAAAAAAAGATTTGGCCAATCTCTTCTTTGGAAGGAAAAATGTTTACTTTAATCACTCTCTTACTAAAAAACCTCAAAAATTAAGTTATTTTTTCTTGTTCATCAGCTAAAATTACTGAATACTTTAAAGATAAAGATTTGTTATTTTGCTGCATACATTCCATCTGAAATTGTCGTTTTTTTGCAACATTAACCTTTCTATTCAGCACTTCTCTTTTCAAATCTGGTATCACCAATAAGGAAAAAAAAGTGAAGTATAATCTCTGTCTTCACAGAAAGGAGAATCTAAGCACAAGCATTAGAAAATTGTATTTAACTGGAGAGAATAAGATACACAACTGCTATGCTTACAAATTAAATGGTATATATCTACATCTTTATTACTAAGGCCCAGCAAAAATACGTCTTTGCAGCTGTCTGAGAAACTTACATTTTTGCAGCATGAACCATTGCTTTCATTCACCTGGTGTATTGCATGTCCTTCTGCTTCTCCACCTTCAACCTTCTCTTCAGGATCTTTTTCATGTCTGTGGTCTTTTTTCCATGCAACAGATCTTCCTAGATTTGGTTTTGGTTTCTGCACTCGGCCTCTTTTCAAAGGTGCTGGTTTCAGCACACTCTTTTTGCTGTCTTCTTGTGAACCAGCTGTTTCATTAGACCTGGAAAAATACATAATACATCTTGTGTACTTATGGATCTTAAATTGGAAGGCTCTTAAGGAAAATATATATTTCTTTTTTAAGAAATAAAAATAGCATACACTTCCATAAGGCAGAGCTATGCATTACTAAGTTCATGTAGACTGTAAAAGTGCTTGAGAAATAAAAATTTATGCGTGCACTGTTCTTTTCTCTCTCCACATACTACACTACAGATCTTTTTCTAACCCACAATGGCACTCTCATATTCATATCCATGATAGAAGCAGAAGAACCTGATTTAATGAAGGCTATGAAAGGTATCAGAAACTCTCAAAGAATAAAAAAATGACAATAATCTTACTGACATGTAAATATCAGATGTATCCAGAACTACCACATTCTTCTATGCTTTCACACCGAGAGCTACATTATACAGCAAGAAAGATAATGACAGAACTAACTGCTCAAGTATTTTTATGGCTGATCAAACCTTGTATGCTCATCCTTCACCCTCTTTAAAAGGATTAAGTAAAAAGACAATGCGTTTCTTTTTAACTAACTCTCCTGTAAAATACATTTATCCTGTCACACCACATCTGTCACTTCTCTACTGAACAGAAATACAGGAAACACTTTATTTGTTAAGTGTTATTTATTTAATATTAATTAAAATACACAATAAACTACCCATACTGGAATGTTTTTTTTCTCCTGATGCCAACACTTAAATGTTTAACTATGCTTTAAATACAAACATTTATTCCCGTCGCTTAAAGACTCAATGCTTTTCACCACTGAAATTATGGTATGTCAATATTACAGCTACTAGAGAAAGCTTGCTTTAGTTTGCAAGGGACTAGCTAATTTTTTGCACTCATCATGGGGACTGATTCATTTAAAAGCACTCCTTTAAAACTAAAAATGGCTAACTTCTTTATTTCACACATGGAATAAATAAATCAATGTTACTGTTCTCTGAATTTCTATCTCACTGCAAAAGTTGCTTAAGAAACTTCTGTTTTAAGAACTGCAAGATTTAGAAGATACTGATTTTCTGTGATTCTGTGTAACTGCTATGCTGTGTAACATTACCAGATGTGAGGGTAGCCAATTGCAAGACAGCAGCATCTTTTTTTTATCCCAATACTTACTGAGACACCATCTCCAAGACTTTATCATCTTTTTCTGCAGCCTCTCCACTGGTAACGTCAAACTTAGTGTTTCGGTCAGTATTCTGAGTAGGAATAGAATATTAAGACATTAACTCCTTTGTATTTATCAAGTGCAGCATTACCTAACAGACTAGGTAACTATCCATGACAAGATACAAAACAGGTTGCTCGTGACAGATGCAATCATTTATGCAGTATCACATAGCCAGAAAGTTGCTGTAAATTCTAGTTCAAAAAACCAAAGATGTGTTTGCTGCATAGTATGAGAGACCGACATCTAACATCTGTGCAACAAGCCTTCACCTAAGCTGAGATCTCTACACAACATCATAGAAGCACTGATGGTTAAGTAAGTGCTAATTCCTGGTCACACTCAGGAAATAAAAAGAGAACGTTCCTGTTGCATCCAACAGTTTTTTAACTAACATGTTATTTCCAGTTATCTTACATTATCAATACCTTTTCAGTTTCTTCCTTAGACTCTGGATGGGACATCTTATCATTTTCTGTGTTGTTTTCATGCTCTTTTCTTCCAGATGCCCTTGTAAGATTAGGCTTAAATCTCTGTCGATTTCCTCTAATTCTTGCTACTGCAAACACAGTTTTCTCAGGCTCTCTGCACAAAGGATTCACAATAATGACATTTACTCCATAATATTCAAGCCAAATGTCCAACGACTCATACAGCTTTCTACACTTGGGAGTCAATATTACATTGAGTTACCTTTGGAAACATTTGCACACACTTTTGCAAGTTCTTTCATGTAAGTACCAAACATTGTTTAGTATTTAGGGCATGGAAACTCCATTCATCTGGATGTTGAAAATATATGAAGTAATCACACTGGTGAGGACTGTGTGCCATTGCTGCTTCTCCAAGCATCAGAAACAGCTGGCAGATGGGCTGTGGGCAAAGCCATTGTTATCACTTCCCCCTCCCTCCCAAATTTCAAGCTGTACTTCATAGAAGTACTACTAACCACAGTTTCCCAGAAAAAACACATATCTTCTACTGCAGAACCATTACTGGAATCATCCATGAAAATTCCAGTCAAATCTAAGATCCATATTAATTATTAGTGTTGTGGTTTTTCTAACAGCATTATGCAAAACAAATTAACAACTACAGACAGTTAGTGATGACTAGAAAAGCAATCTCAATACTTACTCAGAAGGAGTACCCAAATCCATGCTTTCTGCTTCTGTGATTTCACTTCTGTTTCCGCCACTGTCTTCCTCAGAGCACTAGAATTAAGGCAAATGTTGCAGTTTAACTCCAGTGGGCAGCTAGGCACAACACAGACTCTTGCTCACTTCCCTCCCAGAGGTATGGAGGGGAAGAGATTCAGAAGAGCAAAAGTTAGGAAATTCATGGGTTGACATGAAGGCAATTTCTTAATAAAAAGAAAAATTAAACAAAAGAAAAGAACCAAGGAATGCAAAATACAATTGTTGACCACCACAGTCAGTTCCTCTGCAATGGCAGCCTTAGCAAACTCACAGCCTTCCAGCACTACTTGGTGTAACTGTCTGGTGACTTGGTATTATCTGTCCTGGTTCTGTTCCTTCCCAGCTTCTTGGGCACATCCAGCCTCCTTGCTGACAGCACAGTACGAGAAATGGAAAAGACCTTGGCTCTGTACAAGCAGTGCTCAACAGCAACTGAAATATCTGTGTGCTACCCACACTATCGTCATTATGAAACCAAAACACAGCACCACTTGGGCCATTATCTACAATATTAATCCTATCTTGACAAAAGCAAGCACAGCATGAAATGTTACTCTTGGATGAGTGCACAGATACCTCAGAGGCAGTTTTCACAACACTACATATTACACAGTAGCTTATACAGAGGATAAGCATTGACCAGAACTGATACAAGTCCCTAGCATATTAAGAAAAATTCTTCCTCCTGACCTTTTCAGTAGTGTTCACAAGTTTTGGAGAGGAAGTCTCAGCCTCCATTTTCTCATGGTTTACTGCTTCTTTCTTACCAGATAACTTCATTATATTGGGTTTAGGTTTTTGCAAGCGCCTCCTCTCTGCTGGCTTTTCAGTTTTCCTTAAGACATAAGAAGAGGTAGTTCATGTTATTACTAGAGAGAACCAGACAGTGATGCATCAGTTTCCAAAAAGATAAGCTCAAATAACCCAGTAGTTTTGTGTTTTTGTTGCCCTCTTTCTAAAATAAAAAATATTAAAAATTAAATTGTTACTTATATACGTTAACTATATCATATATTTTTGAAGGCTACTCCAAGAGTAACACCTCCTGTTTTATTGTGTTGGCCCACTATGTCAGAAACTGATGTTGGTAGTATGGCTCTGGAGGCTGAACCTTCCCGCCAGTTCCCATGCCATTTTATTGCCACGTGAAAGATGGCAGCAGAGGGGCAGTCTGGCAGAATGGTGTCTGACACAGAAATGCAGATGAAGCAGAGGTCTGGAACTGAATTCCTCCATGCAGAGAAAAACAGCACCCACTGACATCCATCAATGTTTGATGAACGTTTATGGAGACCACCCAGTGGACATGGGCACAGTGTGGTTGTGGATGGATGGTGCTTTTCAGCAGTGGTGACAGTGACAGTGGATCACCTCTGCAGATTTCTACAAGCATGGCAAGCAACCTCTAGTTCATTGCTGCTGAAAATGTACAGCTAATGGCAGTAGCTATGCTGAAAAAATAGTGCTTCATAGCTGAGAATTTGTTCTATCAAATAGTGTTATTACTGTTCACTTTTTATCCACTGTTGTTTCCATGAAAATAAATAGGAGGTATTACTTTCAGAGCAGCCTTTGTGTATGCAGCCCATGACAAGTAATTCATCTTAACTCAGTGTAGCCCAGACAAGCCAAAATGTTGGGCACCCATAGAACACCCCTTTGGGCAGTTCAGGTCAGTTGTCTTGGTTCTGTCCCCTCCCAGCTTCTTGTGTCCTCCCAGCCCCTTCACTGGCAGGACAGCATGAAAAGCTGAAGCTGAAACATTCTTGGCTCTATGCAGCACTATTTAGCAACAACAAAACCATCAGTGTTATCAACACTGTTTTTCCTCCTCTAAAGTCAAAGCACAGCATCATACCAGACACTATGAAGAAAATCAATTCTGTCCCAGATGGAACCAGGATAGGCATACAGGTAATCAATTTCTTTATCCCTAACCACCACAACAGAGTCTTAAGATTTAGACACAACTTGCCAGAGCCCTAAATATTACTGATAATCTTCAGACTGTTTACTGTTATCTTTTCTTATATTCTTCTCAGCACAGGAAAGATAAAACTGACATTCTTTACCATGATGTTGAGCTGCCCTTCAGAAAGGCAGAAGGGCAAAACTTGAATATTTAAAAGGGCTGTTAAGTTACCATGATTTCGTAGACCAGCTCTTAACCAACTTTAAAGAATTATATCATACATACGCTGGTAGATTATTAAGCCTCTATCACATAAAATGGAAATTTTAGACACAGTTGTTTAAACACCACTGTTTAGTTACAGAAATAAAAGTAAGAAATAGTTAAAAGCTTAGCTTGACAACGGACTGCAGTCATGACAGACAGCAGGGAAAGGTGCATCTCAACTTAAACTCTTGCACTGAATTCCAGAGAGCAACATCTTCCAATTAGAAGGGTCTGAACACATCACACACATGATGTACATAACAAATACTCTATGATGGCCATATTTCATATTCAAAGAATACAGTGAAGCTCTTTATAAGATCAACTTTCAGAACAAAGGTTCACTCACAAAACAGAAACACTTCTTCAGAGAAATCTCACTGTTGCTGACTGTAGAGGAACTAGCTCTCTATAAGCTCTGTTAAGCCTTCTTTCTAGTATATATTCAATACCATGTATGTCTTAGTTGAAGCATTAATCAGTCCTCAGCAATCAAAATTTCTATCAAAAATACTTTCTTAAATACAAAAATAGTCATCTAGTCCAGCCTACACAGCTGAAATGGAAATATAGCCAAATGAAGGTTTAGCTCCAGTAACCCATGAGGTAAAAAAATAACTCTACTTACATTAGTTGAGACTGAGAATCTCTTTCTGATGCATTCTGCTTTTCCTCTGGTTTATGTAAACCACATGTGTCTGCATTCTAAGTAAGATTTTAAAAGTATTTTAGAAATCAAGAAATAAGCATGCAAGAACTCTGCTATAAGGTAAGAACAGGCAGAAACACGAAGAAAATCAGTTTGTTTTCTTAACTGAATGAAGCTGATAACAGATTCTTTGGGCAGTAACAGTTAGGATTAGCCTCCAGGTCTAGTTTTTAAATCAGTTTCTTACATAACACTGATGGTAACTCTGAAAATGAAAAAAAAATGAGACAACAGCAAACTAATCACAGCTACAATAAAGTTTCCATGGAGGCTATCTACCAAATTAAAATAAAAGCCTATTCTCTAATTGATTCACTTCTTTAATTATATTGATAAAATTGCATTCGACACCACTAGTTGGCTATTTCTAATTTTTAAAGAAAATCTGCTACAGCAGGCCAACACAATAAGAATTTTCCTTAAAGACCTTCTGAAATAGTCTATTCTGTGGAGTACTCACCATTTTCTCATGTCAAAAAGCCACAGTTAATCAGCCAGAGAGTTTGGTTATTCTGGCTGCTAAGGCCACTATGATAAGGTGATGTATGCAGAGCTCATTCATTGAATGAAGAAACATACATTTTTCAGTTCATTTATGTTTATAAATTATTCCAACTACAATGCATCGTGATACTGCATCAATCCAACATTTCCAACTACAGGCATTTAGACTTTGTGAAGGCTGAAAGTAATTAATTTTCCACTCAGATGAAGCCATTGTTTCAGTAAATAGAATCTAAAAGGTGAAAACAGAAATTATTTGCTCACCACTTCAGGGAGATGCTAAGACTTAGAATTTCCTAATCTTTCACTGTAGAGCTTAGCTGTAAGATACTTCTTTGTCTTAAAAAGTGATTTATTTAAAAAGTGATTTAAAAGTGATTTATTCCCAAAAACAAGTTTTCAAACCGTATATTAATTTCCAAAAATGATGTAAAGGTGCAAGGACAGAATTATGACCAGGGGAAACAGCCTATGTAAGCTGAAATGTAAGATAAGCACTCTTTATCCTGAATCTACTGCTGAAGAGAGGAAAAATGATATTATAAAATAATAGTTTAGCCTTCAGGCATTAGACTTAAAACAATCCAAAGAATGCACTTTTATATTATGTGAATTAAAGTTAGGAAGTTTCAGTGTGCTGCTGCAGACCTCAGTATCTCAGGTTTCTTGCCTTTTTTTGCATCTAATGGCAAAACAAGGCTACAAGAAACCCCACACAATCAAAGAATAGCTTTGATCTACACAAATATTTTGAGTAATAAAGAGGAGGTTTTAAATAAAGCAGAAAAGCACAAAAAAAAACCCCAACATACTGTTGTTTCTCTAGCTTCTCCAAGTTGTCTGTCTTTGCTTCTAGTTCTTGAAACTGGACGCTCTGAAAGCTGAATTTCCTGTGATGTATCACCTGTGATATCCGGGCTTCCTAGTTTACTAGCTTCTGATGCTAGTTTAACATCATTGCTATCTTGAAAGCTGAAATCGATAAAAGCACACACAAACAATAATGCTGTACTTTAATTAAAATCCACTGTTGTTTACAGTCAGATCAAGTTGCACGTATAAAATTTAGATTTACATTAGTAAGGAATTTTGACTTTGAATGATTATGTATAGAACAATCTGACAAATTTTAGTGACGTTTCCATGATCTAAGCTGCTAAAGTAGAAAAGTTGCTTTAACACCTGATTTTAAAACTTCCCTTGAGCGTTCTAGACTAAGTAGTCTTAATAACAGACTTTAATGATAGCAACATTGCACAGATGTAATTGTTACCTATCTTCTGTAACTATGCTGAGTTCAAGGACAAGTACTGTTCTTTCATATACTTCCAAAGGGGAATTAAAGCACATAAAAGTTTCTGGGAAACTGTATGAAATAACATTTACGACATTAATATACAGAGCAAGCAACATACAAAATTATCAATCAGTCCTGACATCTTCATAATCACTTCATATATAAAAAATTTTCAAGCAGAAGAAGCTTAACAAAACAATTATTAGCTTTCTAGTCAAATACCCAATACTAAAACAAAAAGTCTGCCTCTCTTCCCGAAGTCCATAGATGAAAATTCCAAGGGTAAAGCAATGTTACCTAACAACATTACCAAGCAGTGCTTTGAGAAACATTGGTAGTCAGGATAAGTGACCTGCCTTCATAAATAGCCATACATAGCCCAACTCTCCTTTTAAAACAGGGAAACACTGGGGCAGTATTAGGGCAGAAAAAATATTAACGCTGTAAATAAAAAGCAACTTACTGAAACCAAAGACAGTCCTTAGAAACTAAAAACCTGTCCATTTTCTGCCACTCCATGTGATGGCAAAAACAAATAAATAAAACTAATGTTAAAAGTTTAAATCACTTTTTTTTTCTTCCTAAGCGTTCCATTGCAAACATTACCTGTGTAAGTTGAAATCACTTTCTCTCTCTGTTATGTCCACTGATAAAAAGGAGAGTGATCTCTCCTCCTCCTTAGCAGGTAGATCATCTTGTTCTTCAATAACACTGCCCAGGTCTTCTCTGCAGACAGTATGACCAGTAGCGTTTGTATCATTGACCATTTTTTTTCCTGCTAATAAATAAGAACTAAATCAATCTAGACATTCTGCACATCAGCTTAAAATTCCAGCTTTTGCATCCTAGCTACAGTGAAGCAAGTGTTAACTTAGGAGGAAAAAAAATCCCAGCAGAACATGTCTCCTAGGTATTACATTTTAAGAGAACTGTTTCCAGCTACAACAAAATACAACACCTAGATTTAGGACAAAAGTTGACTTTGAAGATCACTGTTCTACAACCTTTCAAGGCAGATCAGTGATACGAAATAAAAAACTCAAGTTTTCATTTGTAAGCTTGCATGTATTTACAAAAAAATTATACTTGAACAAGTAAGCATTTTTGCCTCTTACTTTTCTTAGATGATTTCCCTTCCTCAGGGATTTCCGAAGGGACAGCCAACCCTTCTGGATGATTTTCCACTTCCTGTTCAGGATCATCTTTTCTCTTCCTTTTTCTTTTTTTATTCACCAACGCTGCCTCTAATGAAACTTGTTCTTCTGCCTCTTCAGCAGCCCCCAGCGATTCCTTATTCTCCTTCTCAGCTGTCACAGTATCTGCTTCTGTTTCTGCATCAGAAATTCTGGCTTCCTGAAGATCATCTTGGTTATCTGCAGTTTCTGTGTTGGCAACTTTTGCTGTTTACACAATAGGGCTCCAATTACTATTCTGGCAGAGTATTAAGAGTCATAAATTTAGAAGATAATCCCACTAGCATTATCTTTTGAATCCATACATCAGTGTCAGTATATTGTAAGAAAACAAGGAAGCTTCAGCACTAAACACAAAACATGTTCTGCGCCTGGGACCGCAGTTAGACCAGCATAAACCGACAAAAGGATGCAATTATCAAATGTTCTTGTTCTATAATTTTTATTGGATTATGCAGCCATTTGTGGGTCCAGTAAAAACAGGCATTGCTAATCCTAAAAAGAATTCTCCTATCTCTGCAGAAAGAGATAGTCATGGTTGCAGAAATTACATCAGGAAAATGTAATTTAGATCAATAGATGCATTCTTATTTTACATAAGAAAGCTTAAAATTATTATCTGGCTAATAATTCATAACATAAGCTCTCTTCTGGACTTAATGCATGTCTACAACTCTACTTCCTTCATTTTCCAGAACATTTTGTGATGATATTGAATTTATGTGGAACATCCGACAACCACCAAACACTCCTTCCCTGTTCTTTTTATTACTCTTATATTTGTTACCCTCCAAGTAATTAAAAATGAAGGAGAAACAGAAAAGCACATTCACATTGCTTAACATGATGTACATTAAACACACTATTAAAGTCTGGCAACACCATTTCTACATACAACTTTAAGCCCACTGGGTGGTCTTTTCCTCAGTCAAATCTGAAATGAGTGAGATAGATTTTGTCGATTTTAAGAATTAAATTGACACACTGCTTCTTGGCTAGCATCCCCTGAAAAGAGTTGCTCTTTTTTTTTTTTTTTTTTAATAAGGAAATGGGCTGTTATGAAACATTCAAAAAACCCCACAAAATTTCTGAAATGGTGTCAGAAATTTTTATTTTAGGCAGATTTATGAAAGGACCTGTCACAGTTAATGAAATAATAAGATGCTATACATTTAGCAACTATTGCCACTATCACATTTATCTTTTTTTTTTTTTTTAAAAACAGCAGCAGGAAATTCATTAGCAAATCACTGAGATTCTAATTAAATTAGAACACTCATTTTAGAATATCAGCGTTTCAAATAACAGAGGCCCACTCAGTGGGGTCTCACAATTCTGTCCATAGAAAATGTGCCTTAAGAAACGGGCTGCTACCAATTATTAGGATAGGACACAAAAAAATGGCCTTAACTTGCACAGGAGAGGTTTAGATTGGAAGGTCTTTTCCAGCCTCAACGATTCTCTCACTACTGTATCAAGAAACTCTATCTAAAGAAGAATTTAACTATGAAGCCAGGATTTTCTCACTGTGTCTAGAACAGGGAAGACAGAAATTCTCTACAGGATTTTACTTCTGCTGGCAATATCTTACTAACCATTGGCCTGTGCTCTCATATGTTCTTTTGAAATACCTTTTGTCTTCTTCTTAGGCCTCAGTGGCTTCTTTTCCTTCGGCTTCTGGCTCTTAACAGTCTTCTGCCTCCTCTTTTCCTCATCTGCCAAGACCTTCTCAAGAAGCTGGGCAAACAATTCAAAATCAAAGGGCCGCTTTTCTTCTTTCAGATTAAAGCAATAAAATAGTAAAAAAAAAATAAAAATCAAAGGTGAGAATTTTTTTCTCCTTTGTAAAATAGTCACTAATACATTACAATAACAAAAAGCACAAACAAATTTACATAACAAAAAGGTTATGTGAATTTAAATAGAGAATCCCTTACCAAATTGTCCATCACTTGAGAATAAACAAGAGGTGACAAAAATTATTAGGTAGCTTGGTTTTTAAAAACAGATAGTGAAACGGCTACAGTACTTATCACAGTATCATACAATGCATTAACATCATGTAGGGAAACTGTGAGGTCACAGCTTGAACTGGTGATTGAGTACCTGGAGAAGGGCTGTAGATGGCCTAGAGATCATAGACAAGTTGTTTGCACATTGTTTCCTCATGTGAGCAGAAGAGGCTGATCCAGGGTGGAGCCCCCTTGTGCTCATATAAGCATCAGCTACAGAAGGGAGGGCACCTCTTGGACCTGGGCTGCTTCCTGGGAAGCCAGTATAGTGCTGTATAGCTAGAAAGCCCCTTCACCAGCTGGGTAAGATCTGCTCTTCCTTCTGTTTATGACTATTGGCCTGCCTGCAAATGCTTTGCCTGGCATCACCAAGAACCTGTCAGAAGCTATTTTGCTTCTCTGTGAGCAGAATACATGCTAATTCAGGACTTATATCTCCCACTCAAATAACACACAAAAGATTTAAAGATTCTCAAAACAGTTTAAAGTAGTAACACTGCTAAATAGCACCAGAATGATTAACTGAATATATATGGAAAATGCATATTAATGTAAAATGTTAAATATATAGAAAAGCAAGAAATCAAAGACTTTACTGTCAGCCAAACAAAAAACCTAAGACTTTTCAGCTTCTAAACTCAGCTATGACCAATCTTAGTCACAGTTAACTTAAGCAGAGCAAAAAATGACAGTGAAAGAAGATAATTGCTAGTTAACTGACTCACAGAAAAGTGGGGTACGCTTTACTTACTGAAAGCTTTGTCTATCCTCCATCCATTTGCTTTTTCTTCACGTTTAAACTTGTTCTAAAAAAAAAAATTGCCTTTTTCAGTAAGGAAGAAGTGCTGTGCCGTATCTAGTTGCACAACAGATCAATATGAGCCTTCTTCAATGCAAGAAAATTTTCTACAAACCAAAGTTATAAACACTTGCAAGCATGCTGACTGAACACAAGTTTGCCATCTGTTTTTAAATGTCAAAACTATGTTTGTTTTTACTGTCACCAACACATATCATCGCTCAGTTTCTGATTCTTTTCAACATCTCTTTTCTTATTTCTAATTCAGGCAGAGTTTGAAATACTAGAGGTTTTCCCAGACAAATACAAAGAAAGGCACCACAAAAAAGTCTCAGTTGTGCTCATCAGTATTTGCAGTCAAAATATAATCAAGGCAAACTGTGCTCAGATATGTTAGACTTAGAAAATATTCTGTTCAGAATTCATGTCAGTATATTAATAATTGAGATTCCTATCTCCTGAAACATTTATTATAATAATTTCTATAGAGCCAATGATCAATACCAATAGGAATCATAGTAACACAAAAATAGGAAACAAAAAACTGAAACAAGATGCTTAGATGTTGGATTCAGTGTTTTAACATCTACCTTAATTTCTGCTCTGGCTCTGTGAGGAAACAATCGTCCAATCAAGGAGAAGTCTGTTCCAACCATACTGATAGCTAAAAAGAACATGTCTGTTTCTGGGGAAAAAAGAAAAGATGCATAGCTATACATACACATAACTGAGCATATTTAAGGCAATCACCTTCTTGTTACCTAAAATACAAACATCTTTAAAACTTACAACAACTAGATAGAGAATTTTTAGGTTATCTACAGAGACTACAAGTTCAGCTGAGCTAGCCTAAGTGTTATTTTACTGAAGCATATCTAATAACATTTGTTACACCAACTATTAACAGAAGGAATTGTCTAATCTATTATAAAACTGCAGAATATGAAATATGTTCTGTAGATAACTAGAAAAAGTTAACTGATTTCAAAATGCCAGTCATTACTTTTATTATGAATACAACCTCAAACAGGAGCCAGGCAAATAATACCTGAAACTCATTGTTACTATTCCTTGTAAACAGGGTAATAGCACATTCCAAGAGCAGCACAGTATATTCTGAAGCTAAATTTTCCATATGAAGTTATTTAAAAATATATAATTATAAGAAGTCTTGCACAGTGCTGTCAGCCATGATCAGTATATAACAGAGCTAGTTATAACAAAAAAAAGAAACCAAACACAAAAACATAGCTCCTGTATGCATTAGAAACAGACATTCAGAAACAGCTTTATCTTTATTTCCATTTGTGCTGGAAGAACCAAGTAGAGGAACTGTTGAGAAAGGCTACCTGGTTCATACTGAGCCCAGATATCTCGATAACCAAAGCCAAAACCACCCATCCGAAAAAGGCAAACGTTTCCATGGCATCTAAACTTCCATAACAGAAAAAGTCATGAGTATCCTTCAGAATTCACTGGATTTCTTTAAACTTGCCTATTTTCACAGACAACATCAGAGCTCTGCTTTTTTTAAAGAACTTAGGTGTGGAATGTCAGATGTAAGCGGATCCATAAACTTCACTGGGAATTAAATTTGTTAAGCACAAAGCACCAGTGGAAAACAGATTTTCCTGCTGATGCAAAACATGAAACCAAAAGTATACTTACCTTTATTTGACCATGGTTTGGTATAAAAGCTTTTCCTGAAGCTGGAATATGTAGTTGTAGAACCACGTTCAAAGATGGGATCATTTTCTTCTACAACACAGGGACCTTTTGTTCTCAGAACTTCTACAGTTAAACTACAAAAGCAAAGACAAAAGACACTTACCTGGCAATACTGCTAGCAAGATACACACTTGACACTTACAGGCCAACTATTCAGGTTTTTCCTGCCATAAGCTAGAATTCAGGATTATCCAATGTACTTATAATGTACTTATAACATTATTGTGTATTTCAATGGAAGAATGTGATAAGAAAGCATTGGCCTACTCAAACTGTGCAAGCAAGTTTGGTTTACCTTTTTTTTAGATCTAGTACAAAAACAGATAATTAAAATATCTTTTAAAAATGACCACAAAGGCTTGTCCTTTTAATATCCAAGAAAATTGCTTTGCAAAACCACACAATAGTATCTGCTCTTTCTGAAAAACTTCAAGTTCTTTTTCTAGGACTAGTTCTAGGCTTGTATTTCAACCTAAATCTCATGCCAGTAACATATTTTGGGAATATGCATAGACATATTTGGGAAGACTAATGTTTTTTAGATGTCACATTCTAAGAAAAGTTACTGACAGATGAATAGCAGCAACATGCAACATACAAAGCTGAAGCACATCGTAGTGATGACTGAACAATGAACAAACATTTTCAACTATGAGAAACAAAGAAGTGAACAAAACAGGAGACATTTGGAAGCTTAACATTCAGCACTGTTACAAAGGACGACACCTTCCTCCACAAAACACATTTTGGAGAAAGAGCAGGAAAGTTTGCCACTAGTGAGACAGAGCTATTGCTATAAATTTGCACTGTTTGCTAAATCAGGATAGCTCAATTCTCATCACATCATACACTCGTGTCTCCCTCAAACAGTCCTATTTACAAAAACAGCAGCAATCTAGCACCTCTTGACAATGAGTCAAACACAGGACTCACCTCTCTTCATCCAGTATAATTGAACCATCTTCTGCTACTTTCACACGAGGAACTAGAAGTGGACCATCCTGACTTTCCTCCCCATTCTCTGCCTCCTCATCATCTTCCTCTTCATGATCAGGAGTACTTTTTTCTTCCTGTCTACAGTATTACAGAGCAAAAAATATTACTTGTGGTAGCACTCCACCAAATTGTTGCTCTGTATGCCAAATGCTCAACAATTTAATTAACCACTTAACAATACAACCTAGAAACAAGTTGGCTGATACACACTCTGAAATCTGCTTTTCATTCTGTTATGTGATGGACAAGTCCAAAACTGTAATATGAAAAGCAAGAGGCTCTTTTATAGAACACTCTCACAGATTGTTTTTTTAAATAAGGGCTATGATATTGAAGCAGTAAAGGAAGATTTAACATTATTAATGTTACTACATTTAAACATGCTATTTTCCAACATCAGAACTTCACTTTTTTTTACTCTAAGTACCTTTATCTCCAAGACTTACTCTTTCATTTGATGCAGTGCAGAACTTTTTTCTGTTCTCTTTTCTTCTGCTAACGAAGACCTAGAATTTTTAAGAGTTAGAGATACAAGTTTGAACAGATATATTTCTGCTTCGCTCCCTCAAACCTACTTTCACTGGATAACACACAAAAAAGCAACAGAACAAACTCTTATTTTCAATTATTTTTATCATATCTGAACTTGGTCTAATTGAACAGTCATCACTGTTCAATTCATCACTGAATTTTAGGTTGAATTAATGAATTTCCTGTGGTTTTTCTGTTGCTTGTTGTTTTTTTTTTTCTATCAGCATCAATTGCTGAAGGGCAAAACAGTAGATTTCACACAGTAATCCACGAGACTATAATAAATGATCAACACCAGATTCACTGTGAAATAATTTTAACAAAGCATTTAATAGGAAGTGCAGATTACCTTATCACAGGAAACTGAAGATGGAAAGTGGACCATCAGTCAGTGAGATATAAGTACATGCTGCTTTACATAACAAGCTGGAATACGATAGTACAGCAAAGCACTCCACATGAGCATCTCTACTTTGCAATAGCTGACAAGTTTGAAAGTAAAAACACAGTTCATTTGTGAAACTGGTCCCCCTTCAGTAAGCACCATATTTTTATGTAATTTTCTGCAACGTTATCAAACATAACAATTTACATCTTCAGCACTGCACATTTTATACTACATACCAGATACTGTCATAAAATGTTGGGGGGGCACACAATCCTGGCTGATGTTAAGCTTTTCATCCACCAGAATGCCCGAGCACTTCTCCTCAGGGCTGCTCTCAGAACTTTTGGGGCTCCTGGTAGATGAGAAGCTGGGTGTGAGCCAGCCACAGCACTTGCAGCCAACTGCACCCTGGGCTGTATCCAAATATGCGTGGCCAGAAAGTGAGAAAGGTGATTGTCTCCTCCTACTCTGCTCTACTGAGGCCCCATCTGTAGTACTGTGTCCAGTGAAGCCCAGCACAAGAAAGATGTGGAGCAGGTCCAAGAGACCATGAAGATTACCAGAGGCCTAGAGAAACTCTCTTATGAAGAAAGGCTGAGAGGAGTGGGCTTTTTTACCTTGGAAAGAGAAGGCACCAAGGATACCTCAATGCAGTCTTCCAATGCTTCAAGAGAGGTTATAAGCAGGAGAGAGAGACTTTTTACATGGTCTGATACTGATAGAACAAGGGGGAGTAGCTTTAAACTAGAAGAGGGAAGATGTGGGTTAGATGTTATACATAAATTCTTTACTCAGAGAGCGGTGAGGCACAAGCTGCCTCGAGAAGTTGCGGATGTCCCATTCCTGCTGATGTTCATGGCCAGTTTGTATGGGGCCCAAAGCAGCCTGACCTAGTGGGTGGTAACCCTGCCCACAGCAGGGGGTGGGAACTTCAAAGTCCCTTCCAACCTGCCCCATTCTGTGATTCTTCTTCCATTCTGTGCACATATACAGGACTGCCCCAACCAAGAGCAACACTTTGCTTTGTTGAATCTCATTACATTCATGTGGACCCACTCCTTGAGCTTGTTCGGGCCAATCCAAACAGCACTCCCTGCACAGGATCAACTGCACCACTCAGCCCAGTGTCACCGCCAGACTAGCTGAGGGTGCACTTCCCACTATCTGCATCACTGAGATCACTGATAAAGATGTTGAAGAACACCAGTCCCAGTACAGAGCCCTGAGGGACACCGTTTATGACCAGCCCTCATGTGGAACACAGAAGCATTAACACTCTCCTGCTGCTACCATCCAACCAATTCCTTATCCACCAAACAGTCCACCTTTTTCAAATCTACATTTTTCCAATTCAGAAATAAGAACACAGGTGTGGGATCACATCAAAGACCTTGTGTAAGTCCAGACAGATGATAAGTCGGTCTTCCTTTGTCTACTAACGCTGTTACTGCAACGTATGAGGCCACCACATTAGTCAAACACCATCTGCCTTTGGTGAATCCATCTGCACTGTCTCAAATTACTTCCTTGTTTTCCATGAGCATCAACACAGCTTCCAGAAGGATCTGTTCCATGATCTTACCAGGCACAGAAGTGAAGGCTGTAGCTCCCCAACTCTTCCTTTCTCCCTTTCTTAAAAATAGAAGTGATGTTTCTTTTATTTCCAGTCACTTGGGATTTCACCTGACACCCATGATTTGTCAAATATGATGCAGAGTGCATTGGAAACCACACTAAAGATGCACACTGTCCAGCTGGATGGACTCATTTGTGTTCAGTCTCATCAGGTCTCAAACCTGTTCTTTGCTTACGGGGAGGTTCAGGGATATGAGATATGTGGGACTCCTGACTGCCAGTGAAGGATAAGGCAAATAACTTGTTGAGCATCTCAGCCTTCCCCACGGCTGTTGTTGGACTTCTTCCTAATCAACTACTTGAGGAGGTGCACTCTTCCTGGCCTCCCTCTTCTGACCAGTGCACCTATAGAACCTGTCCTTGTTACTTTCCATATCTCTTGCAAAGTTCAGTTCATCTGCTTCTTGGTTTTCCTGAACCCATCTCCACATTTACAGACAGAATCACTGCATTATTCTCAGGCTACACATTCCCACTTCCACTGCTTGTTCAGTTCTTCTCATCCCTCAGTTTAACAAACAGCTCCTTGCTCAAACAACTACTTCAGGGTACAAGCTGACATAACATTTAACTGAACACAGCTAAGATAGTGTGTATCAGCCAAATTTCAAAACAATCTTGCTTCAGCTAGGACAGAATATTTTCTTCAGTGTCTGATATGATGCTGTGTTTTGGTTCTGGGAGAAAAACAATGTTGATTATATACAGGTGCTTACAGCTGCGTGCTAAGCAGCGTTGTACAGAACCAAGGCCATTCACAGTGGAGGGCCCACGAAGAATTGGAAGAGCTGATGTAAATTGGCCAAAGGAATATTCCATACCATATCACATCAAGCAGAGGGAGTTCTAAAGAGGATGGGAGTTCACCTCATTTTTTCTTCTGCTCAGCTAGCGCTGGGCATTAGTCAGGGACTGGTAAGCAATTACTTGTTATATACAAGCATCACTGTTATATGCATTCATACATATATAACATGTCATAATTACTATCCTTTTCTTTATCTTAGTAAATAGTTTTATATCAACACACAAGGGGTTTGGCTTTCTCAGTTCTCTCCCCCATCCCACTGAGAATGTGAAGGAATGAACAAATGACTGCGTGGTTCTTCGATCATCTGCTGGATTAAACCCCATCAGAGGCAGGTGATCATATCCATAGTAAAGGAATAGAGAGCAACTGGTTCATTATCTGCTTAAGGACTATTCAGTGCAAAAGAAAATTTAGCAAGGAAAGGGGTAAATAAAAGACATAGGCACATAAACATTAATGAGCAGGTAATAATAGACAATAACAAATCAAAACTTTTCTGCTACTAATTGATGGGTCTTTAAAGGAAGTACTCAGGCACAGGACTGAAGGTCAACATAAACTTCATAATTGGTAAGAATCTTTGGGATATTTGAGAGGGTTCTGTGTGACTGTCTATAACACAATGCACTCAGAAGAAGGTTGCACAACTACGTAAACTTACTGTGATATATTTAAGAGATGTGCCCAGAGGAGGGAAAATCAGGGATCATGATGGACGAGTATGGTATAAGCATGGTGAAATGGATGCAATTGGAGTAAGAGGGATGAAAGGGCTGTAAGCAGACTGCCAGTCATTATGTCTAATGACTGATCCTTCCCACATCATCACCACAGTTTATTCAATCTCCAGTTGAACATCATGAAGCTCAAGAAAGCCAAGTGCAAGCTCCTACATCTGGATCAGAGAATCTCAACCAGTCCATAAAAAATATGGCCTGCAGGTTAAGGGAGGTGATTCTCCCCCCTACTCCGCTCTTGTGAGAGCAATTTGTTCAGCTCTGGAGCCCCCCAGCACAAGAGACGAATCATAGAATCACAGAATCATAGAATCATAGAATCACCAAGGTTGGAAAAGACCTTCAAGATCATCCAGTCCAACCATTCACCATTTCCCAGTAGCTCCCACTAAACCAAGTACCTCAACACAACATCCAGCCTAACAGTTAAAGACCTAACAGTTAAAGCACATCCAGAGGAGAGCAACAAACATCAGAGGGCTGAAGCACTTCTCCTATGAAGGAAAACAGAGATGAAAGGTGAGAAGGGTCCCATAAGTGAAAGTAAAAAGACAAGAAGGCTTCACAGTGACTGAAAATAATTGGGGTGAAGGGGAATAGTTAGAAATAGTTTATAGAAGCAAGAATGTAGAGCTTGTTAGAAAAATAAGGGATGGCAGACAGTGGGTCTGGGACAGTGAGGGATGAAGGCCGTAAAGATAAGGTTTGAGAACAGCCCGAGGACATCTGGCAGGGAGGTGATTAGATGTCCACAGGGCAAGAAGAAACCGGTTTGGGGGTTTGCCCCCCCGAAAGGTCAGAAGTTTACAGCGAGAAAGGTCAGAAGCCTTCGGGAGGAAGATGACAAATCTTCATCCCACGACCCACTGTGCACAGCAAGAGGGGAGGGTCTGCATGCTAACGAACTCTCAGAACTAATGAATCTACAGATTCATTACATTTCCTGGGGAAAACTTGGTTTTGGTTTGGTCTATATCTGTGGCACGATTTTTACTGATGGTGTGCAAGTTAGGCAGATCTATCCCACTTGCAGCCGGTGTCTGCACAGGACTAAACTGTACCTACTTTGTAATCTTATTTGGGTTACAGAGTTTGATTCTGCACATCAATTTGGACCCCAGACGGGACAACCTCTGCTCGGCTGCAGGACCAGCTGAGACAGGAGATGCCTTTGGCGCGCCCCGAGATTTCTCAGAAGGACTCCCCTTCCTCATCCGATCACTGCGAGAGCAGATAAGGACCATCCATTGGTGGATCAGGTATGTGTACGGAATGAGGGGAACCCGTGAGCTATATGGAGACTTCCTGCGGTGGGTATAGCCATTGGTGCTGCCCCTAGGCAAGTGAGCTCACAGGTTGGGTTGGTTGCTGGCTGGGGTAAGAAAACTCCTTGAGGGGTTCCTA